ATCTTTTATATGTTCTGGATTTTAACAGTATAGGATATTCATTGGTTATATTGTGTTGGACATTTGGGGTTTTCTCTTCCTGGAGAGATTATTTTGCTTTTCAGTTCTCTGGAGCCATAAGCTTTGTCCTTTGCTCATATTTCTTTTATTCCTCTTACTTTGCCTTGATTAGAACAATTGAACCATAACTTATTGGGTGATTATGTTCAATTGTATATACCACTGGAAACCATGCCCGTTTGAGTCAGTGATCCTGTGGCCTCGTCTCAGCTTTCTTGGGTATTTCAAACAGAAGTACTTTTTTCCTCACACACATTTTTCTGTATTTTTATTTCCCTTTGGTTCCCACCTTAACTTTGTTTATCCTGATTTGAAATTCTTATTTAACAAGTACTTAATAGCATCTACTGTACACTCAGCACTTCACTAGTTGGCAATGTTAATATAGTTTATGTTACTCTTTGAAAATTTTCCAAATCCTTACATATGTCTTCATGTTTGTGCTTCCTGCACAACTGCCTTCGACCCGCCATCTTGCTGCTCCGACCTCTGTAATCCCTGCTTAAACCTCGGGGTGCAGGCAGACCTTTATTCTTCTTACTCATATACTAGTATGTAATCCACTCGCGGCCAGTGCCTCTCAACGCTTCGATGTGTCCGGGGAATCTTTACCAATTTCTGACTGTGTGGATGGAGTTGGTGGGAACTACAGTTGATGGTGGCTATAGCCTCCATGTCCTCCCCAGACCACCAGCTCGTTTCTTCAGCTGAGGGGACATCTGGGCCCTCCCCTTCCCGGCACTGTGCCCTGGACACTCTCCAGACAGTAACCGAGGGCAGAGGTAGGCCCTTGTTTTGTCCTTTGTCTGTCAGGGATTATTGTAGTTTGTTGCCTCGAAGTCCAGGGTCTTGAAAATGATGGTTTCATATAGTTTGTGTTTTCAGTTGTTTCCGGTGGGAAGGTTAATCTGATCCCTGCTGGTCTCTCTTGGCCAGAAGCAGAAGTCTTCTCAGAATAGAACTTTTCATATTTAGACTCGTTTCTGTCCTGGGGAAATTAAGTGGGTCTGGCCTTATCTTTTCATCCTCCTCCTTTTCAGAGCTTCACAAGTAATTCTTAAAGAAAATGAATTTCATTTTTATTGAATGCCTTTTATGTGCTACATTATATATTTTTGCTAAAGTGAATAGGCTTGGTCCCTGTACCAGATGTTCCTCAGGTCTAGTGAGGGAGGCAGACAATGTTCTTATTGCTATAATTAAAAGTAATACGTATTTTGAAATATCTATGATGCCATCACAATGTAGAGTGACATGTATAGTATGTTAAATATGATAAATGATGTCACATTAGAATTGATGGCCTTGTGCTGACACTTGTGAATTCTGTCCCCTAATCATGACCAGCAGTGTTTACCCTTTCCTGGACACCTGTAACCCTCCCATGGACGGCGTACAATTGTATCTGTGCTCTTGGTCCCCTGACTCTCCTGGATTTGTCTCCTCTCCATATGACCTTTTCTCTCTACCTGAGTTTTGGTCTGTTGTCAAATCTGATTTCATTTTTTTTTCTTTTACTTTAACATAGGAATGTTAAAGACTGAAATATAAAAAATTAGCTGCATTTGCTGTAGATGGATGAGCTTTTTCAATGAGTTTGTTTATTTTCTAAAGTAAAATGTAATTGGCTATTGGGATGGTGCCGGGAGCCGGTCCATCCTTGCTGCTTGACACACTTATTTTCTAAAGTAAAATGTAATTGGCTATTGGGATAGGAAGGGAGAAAGGGTTAAGAGTAGCAGAAGAGCCCTAACTGGTTTGGCTCAGTGGATAGAGCGTCGGCCTGCCAACTGAAAGGTCCCAGGTTCGATTCTGGTCAAGGGCGTGTACCTTGGTTTCGGGCACATCCCCAGTAGGAGGTGTGCAGGAGGCAACTGATCGATGTTTCTCTCTCATCGATGTTTCTAACTCTCTATCCCTCTCCCTTCCTCTCTGTAAAAAATCAATAAAATATATTTTTTAAAAAAAGAGTAGCAGAAGACCACAATTATAGTTAACTAGAGGCCCAGTGCATGAAATTTGTGCACTCAGGGTGGGGGGGGTCCCTCAGCCCAGCTTGTGCCCTCTCACAGTCCGGGAGCCCCGTGATCGATCACCCCAAAGGGAGCAAAGGGCGGCTCCGCCCACCCCCCACGGCACCACTGCCAGTTAGCCTGGGCATCCCTCTTTGGGGTGATTGTGGAGCCCCCCGATTGATTGATGGCCCCACCAGCCAGTGGCCTGGGCCTCCCTCTGCAGGGCGATCATGGGGCAATGGCCAGGCCCCCGACCAATTGCATTGCACCCGCCTTGGCTGGCCTGGTGCCAGTGGGTGTCATAACGTGGTCGTCTGGAAGGTCATTCTGCTGTTCGGACTTTCGTTCGATTTGCATATTACACTTTTATTGTTATAGATAAATCTGGCCTACTTTTCCAAAGGGACTCTTCGGATGATGAATGAGGCCAGCTGTCCTTTGAGTTGTTTAGGAGAAGCTCAGGTTGCTAGTGACATCTAAGAATCTTCCCCTCTGGGATTGGACAGCAGGAGACGGGAGTAATACCACTGTACATTGACTGGGTTCAAAGGTGAGAGTGCGGGCCCTGATTGGCTCAAGGTAAGCCATGTTGTTGCGTGAGCAAGACAGCAGGACTCCAATGGTGGATTTGTCTTTTCTCCTGGTCAGCGGCTGTGACCTGAGCCTTCCTTGGAGAGAGAGCCTCTGTTTAGGTGACTGTTAACCGGGTGGTCTATCTGGTGCTTGTGGTAGCTCTGGATCTTTCTACTTCTCCTCAAGGAGCTCATTGATGTGATTTCAGACCCTATCCTCACTCAAAAGAATATGCCATCTTGCTCTGTGCGGAGTATCTTGCAAGACACAGTGCTGTGTCCGTTTTTATGCTGCTGGTTCCAGATGTCTCCAGCAGCCCTGCTTTTCCGCAGATGCTTGGCCACTGTGTGAGCATGAATAGCCTTTCTGTCCTGCAGAGGCGGTGAGAAGCTCTGCCCGAGCGTTTGAGAGTTAACCAGCATTCACTGAGCAAGCCCTCTGTGCGGCACTGATTGTGCCTCTTACAGAGACTGTACAAGAGATTCTGCTGACCTCAAATGTACTTCCAGTCCGGAGGGGAAATAGCAGAGGTGAATTCAGAGGCCCGTTCAGGAAGACCACCAAAGAAAATGAGAAGATAAGCAAAACAGTGTTTTGAGTTCTGTTTCTTCAGACGTCTCTGTTGAGATTGGCAGCTTGAGTGGCCCAGAGACTGCCATCCACCATTTACAGACATGTGCTATTTTGAGATTGAGTCTGTGGTTTGGGAAGATTGTAGAACCATTTCAACAAATGCTTAATGAGTGTGCAAAGTGCCGTGGTAGGCACAGGGAACACCGAAAAGTATAAAGTTATAGCCTCTGCTTCTAGGGAACCGCTCCTTAATGTTTGGAAAGGCAGGGCATGTTTAAGGTTTTAAAAATCTTAAGATATATGTCTTCATAGGAGGAAAGCAGAATTGTCAACACAGTAGAAATATACACTAAACTGTTAACCCCTCTGGGGAGTGGGGCTTGGGTGATGGGGCAGGTGGCGGACGAAGAGGAAGGGTCTTCACGTTTTCTGTATACATTTCTGTGTGGTTGAACATTTTTACCAAGTGCCAGTGCAGCCTTTTTGGAATTATTTCTTCATTAGCTAACAACAACAACAATAGAGACTAGAAGATTATAAACATAGTGTTAGCCTTGAATATCTTTGTGTGATAGGATTATGAAAGATTTATATTCATTATACCTCCCTTTTGCCTACATTTTCTGTAATGGATATATATTATTTTATAAGTAGAGAAAGAAAGTATTTGAAAACCAAAACCCAAAAGCACCTACAATGATTACTAATACTGCGTTTTAGCCTTGGTTGGTGTGGCTCGAGCACCAAAGGGTGTCGGGTTCAATTCTCAGTCAAGGGCATGTATCTGGGTTGCAGGTTCAGTCCCGGGCCCTGGTCAGGGTACATGCAGGAGGCAACCAATTAATATGTCTCTCTCACATTGATGTTTCTCCCTCTTTCTTTCTCTCTCTCTCTCTCTCTCTCTCTCCCCACCCCCTTCCTTCCTTCCCTCCCTTCTACTCTCTCTAAAAATCAATGGGAAAATATCCTCAGGTGAGGATTAACAAAAAAAATATAGCTGAATTTTAATATGTTTACCATATTTTGGATACACTACACCAGCTCTCCTTTTTTTTTTTTTATCTCCTCACTCTTACCACAACTCTATTAAGGTTGTTCTATTATTATTATTATTGTTATTATTTACTATTATTATCTACTACTAGATAATTACTACTATCTATCTACTATTATCATTATCTACTAATATCTACTATTATTACTACTATTATCATTATCAACCACTATTTTAAATGTGAAAGAAGGGCATTTGCTCTCGCTTCTCAGAACCTTGTCATTTTGAGAGAGCCTAGGAGCAAAAGGAATCTAGTTATTAACCATGCACCTGTACTGTGAAGGCTGCCTAGAAAAATTGGTTATGCTGATTGGGTTACAGTTATAGCTGTCAGTGTGGGCTGTGATCCCTTGTTTTAAAGCATCCTAAGAATACTTTCTACATATTTATATTTAGTTCTGTTGGAGAAAGCAATGAGATTACCCCATCTCCCCATCTGGTGCAGTGAAGACAGCTCATCTGCTTGGCTTACTTTGTATAATTAATTTTTAAACTTCTGGTAGAATGTCTTTAAGCATATCTCAGAATTAAAATCTCCAAGTTATTTGTAATTTAAGTTAAGTAGTTAAATCCTGTCCTGCAAATTTTGTTCAGGGAATCCAAGTCCCCTTATAATTATGAATTTAATTACTTTGAAAGTAATAGTGTTCTGAATTATTTAAGGGAGGCAAAGACTGAAGGAAAGATGTCATTTGTAAATGAATTTCTTTTTTTCCCCCTTACAGCATGTATTTGATGATCTCAGTGGCTCAGTATCCTTGTCTTGGGTTGGAGATAGCACTGGGGTAAGTAATATTTTGAGGCTGTGAATTCAACTAAGCAAGAAGAACATGTAGATGTGGGGAGTTTAAGCACTAAGTGTTATTTTCTGAAACTGCTTCCAACCTCAGACACAGAAATACATGTTTCCAGGACAAACTCTCAGGAAACTGTGGTTGGCTTGGTTTTGCTTTAGAATGGGAAACATCCTGTAACCACCCTCTTCCATAATGGGAAGATAGACACCTTTTGAGTCCTTGGTGGCTGCTTGGCATCAAGATGAGCAAGAAGAAAGAGGGAAGCATGTGCTGTATGCTGAGAAGTGAGCCTCACAACACATGGGAAGACTAGTGTGGAAGCTGAAACCTGCGCATCACACATCTTGGCATTTTTCCTCCAAAATGCATTTTCCCACAGTTACTGTTGAAGGACTGTGGCGCCCATGGGCTCATGGCTGTTTAGTTCCATCTGTGTCCCTTTCCCTACAACAAAGGAGGTGCTGCCAGGATTGGGAGAGTGGAAGGAGCGTCTGTCAGCTCCTTATTCTCCAATGTGGAGCCCGTCTCCCAGTAGGAGGGTGCACTTGGGATGCATCGGCCCCAGGTCTTGACTCAGGACTTGGTGTTAGCTGCTCTGTTATTATCCTGCCTGAACAAGGGCAGGGCCACAGTTCATACCCTCCCCTCTGGTATTCCATGAATGTATGCATCATAGCATTGAGGCACACGATGGCTATGTCAGGAATCCAAAGAAATATTGGAGCTGAAGAGCAAGTTATAAATTAATTATCTTAATTAATTTTTAAACTTCTGGTAGAATGTCTTTAAGCATGTCTCAGTTTCTTCTAAAATTTGAGTTGTGCTCTAATTTCCATGATTTATCCATTTATTTAAGATAGTTGGTATCGCAAGATTTCTTGTTACATGGCCAATTGAGACTCCCTCTTGTACTAATCTATCAGAATTTGTCCTTGTGCATATTTTTATCTAGAAAAATATTTAAGAAATTAATTTCATGGAGAACTGATAGCAGGGAGGAGGAAAGGAGGGAAATATGTGACACAGTGACTTTTGAGCACCCATAGTGCTCTAGCCTCCTGTACACAGAAAGGGAGCTGATTCTTGCCTGAGAATATCTTATACTAATACTAGAGGCCCGGTGCACAAAATTCGTGCATGGGGGTGGAGTTCCCCTCAGCCTGGCCTGCGCCCTCTCACAGTACGGGAGCCCTCGGGGATGTCCGATTGATGGCTTAGGCCCTGGCTGAGTGGCGCTCCCCCTGTGGGAGCACACTGACCACCAGGGGGCAGCTCCTGCATTGAGCGTCTGTCCCCTGATGGTCAGTGTGAGTCATAGCAACCAGTTGTTCTGGTTGTTCCACTGTAAAGGTTGCTGGCTTTTATTATATAGATGGATACAAAATAGTTAAATCCTTCCTTTATTGTAATGGGTAGTTGATTAGCTCTGCCTCACTGCTTCAAGTGTGGGCGACAGGACCGTCTCAACCAAGAGTTGAGACCTTGATTCACTGCAAGCCTTAGTAACTTCTTGGTTTTCTGACTTACTACAGTATAGGCCAGTGGTCGGCAAACTCTGCGCATGGCCCACGAAGTTTCAGTCACACTGTACGTGCGCACCCGCACATGGTATTGGAAGAGTCACACTCAAGGGGCCAAAGAGCCGCCTGTGGTTCGCGAGCTGCAGTTTGCCGACCACGGATATAGGCTACTGAAAAGCAGGGCTCTTGTCAGTCTTTCAGATGTTGATTTAATCCCATCACAGGCAAGCATGTGATTGGACTATCTTTCTTTTTAACTGTGCTTTTGTCTCTCTCCAGATCATTCTAGTCTTGACTACCTTCCATGTACCACTGGTAATTATGACTTTCGGACAGTCCAAGCTATATCGAAGGTGAGATGCATATGGTTGGGGCACTGACTGAATACATTGTGAATGTAAGTTCCCCACTTTTCTAGGCATGATGGAGTCCAACAGTTGATTAAAAAGATCTTTCAGCCATCTTAAATTTTCAACAAACTGTCACATTCAGCACACTTATCATTTACTTAACCTGAAGAAATATGAAAAGGAATCTAGTCCAAGAAGATTAGGTTGACCTGACTAAACAGGAAAGCAGTAAAGGCAGATGGAGAGTGTGTAGGGGTGTGTGTTTTATTAATTTAAATGGATATTTATTTTTGGGAAGGTAGCATGGAGTTCAACAGTCTTTCTACTTATTATAAGCATAGAATGGTTTTTATATCTCTGAAGTAACAATCCTCACTATACCTTCCAAGTAAATGTATTTATGTAACACTTTGTACCTTCCAAGTAAATATATTTATCTAATCCTCTGAGCCCCAGTTTATCTAGATTGTTTCTAGATCAGAAGGAGGTTCTCAGGTCAGACCTACCAAAGTGCCTTATAGTGTTTACACTGGTAACGATGGTGGCAGTGTATGTTCTGGAACCGTACTGTGACAGTTACCAAGTTTTACATGTGTCTTCTCAAAGGTACAGCTTGGTTAAATAGTAGGCTCTTTTCCTTAACTGTAAGATGCAAGACCAGCTAACTCTCAGAAGTTGCTGATAGTCTTCTCCATCATTTGTGCCCGTCTCATTTTCCCCCAAGGGACTCCCCCCAAAATATGGCATCCTAGCAGATAACATAGAAACTCTTCTCAAGGCCAACGGATTTCCCAGCAGCCATCGTACTCTCTCAGGGGCCCAGATACAAGTGAGCCTTTGGTGAATTTCTGAGATGGCCCCTTCTCCAGTAGGTGTAATCTTGATTGCTGATTCTGAGTCTGGAGCCAGTGTTCGCGGCCCTTCAACACAGTGATGTTGACTTAAAAATAGGCTAAGAAGGAATTGCCATTTTGGAATCGCTGTAAGCTCCACAAAGCCAAGGTTCTTGACTAACTTGGAGTTCTCAGCAACTAGCCAAATGACCTATATGTAATAGTAGGCAGGCAGTCCATACTAATTGAATGAATGAATGCCTTGGCTTCTCTTTAGTTTTTAAACTGATAATTTTTTATAAGGATTGACTGTATTATAGAATCATAGTGCTAGAAAGGGCTATAATTTATAGGTGACTTTGTTTATTCAATTAGAATAGTAATTGAACTATTTCAGACAGATGAAAAATATCCTGTTTGGGGAGGAAAAAAATGTATAAAAAGTTGTAACTTCATAACTCTTTCCAATGTTTAAGAAACCTTATTGTCATAAAATTTTTCCTTATGATAGTTTTTCTTGGAAAATTATCTTTCATTATAACAGTAGTGTATTATAGCCTGGCTGGTGTTGCTCAGTGGTTGAGCATTGACCTATGAACCAAGAGGCCACTGGTTTGATTCCTGGTCAGGGCACATGCCCCGGTTGTGGGCTTGATCCCCAATAGGGGGGCATGCAGGAGGCAGCCGATCAGTGTTTTTCTCTCATTGATGATGTTTCTATCTCTCTATCTCTCCCTTCCTCTTTCTCTAAAATCAATAAAAATCATGTGTTGTTTTTTTTTAAAAAAAGCAATATATAACATTTGGAAATTTTAAAGGAAAAATTTCACCCTAACGTCAAGTGTAATCTTAACTTATGTACAGTTTATCTTGATTTTCCCCTTTAATGTTATATCATATGGCTACATAGTTTGGGGAAGCAACATGATACAGTGTAAAGTTGCCAGGTTTTGGTGACAAATAGCCCTGGGATTGAATCTCAGCACTATCATTTGTAAGCAGAATGAGCTTGAGCAAGTTACTTTGCCTCCCGGAGTCTTTTTGTCATCTGTAAAAGAAAGATGATAACAGTGGCCACCTCAGAGCTGTTGTGACTTATGCTTTGCAGTGCCTGGGCTGGAGTAAGAACTTGGGGAGGTTAGCTGCTGCCATGCCAGCAGCCAGCGAGGGCACATAGCCAGACTGTACTGATATTGCTGTGCCAGTTGTTAAAATGAATTCAAAGCCTTCTGTGCCCGTTGGTAAAAAGTGCTTGTCTGCCCCCAGTGCCTCCATGGCTTCTGGAGATGCACGCACACCCCTGCCAACATGCAAGTGCCATGACCCATATCCACTCTGATTGATGCTCATACAATGATATTTTTCATATCCCCTCTGCTAGTTACCCATCATTTTTGTTAGATTGACGGAATTTACTAAGTCATTATTCTCTTGGACACTTAGGTTGCAGCTAATTTTTCACTATTACTAATGCTGTTGTGATAAATATGACACATATATGTGTCAAGAGAATGCTAATTTCCACTTCATTTTTTAGTAGCAAATGAAAACCTCTTATTGACCCCTAGATGTTTTTATTTGTTTGTTTTTTAATCCTCACCTGAGGATTTCCATTGGTCTTTAGAGAGAGTAGAAGAGAGCGAGGAAAGAAGGAGAGAGAGAGAGAGAAAACATCGATGTGAGAGAGACACATGTGGGCTGACACTCTAACCACGGAGCTAAACCGGCCAGGGCGACCCTAGATGTTTTGAAGGCTGTTTACTAAGCTTCTCAACTTCCCCAGGTTGAACTCTCTCCTGTACTTGTTGCTTTAGCCACTTTAATGCTTGTCTTCTGAATTCTCTACATTGCTGTTTAAGTGGGTGACCAGTCAAACCCATAGGGAGGGCAATGTGTTTTCATGACTTTTCCCCATCCTTTTGCTTTTCAGTATTGTGCTTACTTTAAGACTGCCCCAAACAAAAACCAAATGGTTTAAACACCTACCACCATCTGACTCAGCCCTTTTCACCCTGAATCTGTCTGGCCTGTGAGAAACCCTAGCACACACTCGACCTGGAGAGCAGTCCTCTGTGTCTGGTATAGAATCATATTCACAGGGAGGTGCTGTTTCTGCAGGGCACGCAGCAGTTTGGTTGTTTGTTTCTACGAGGTCATTTTGAATATGAATTCTTTCCTCCCTGCTGTTAAGGGAAAGGTCTTCCAGAGGTTAGGTGGAAACTGTAAATATGCCAGTCTCCATCTGGCCTGGCCTGATGTGACTCATGTCATTGAACACGCCAGCCAAGAGGCACATGTTCCTTCAGACACGGGAAAGGAGGGAGCAGTTTGATCAGAATGACTATGCTGAGGTTGCCCAAGTAAAAGCCTGTTGAATCCACTCTGAAAACTCTGGTTTCTCACAGCTTTAATGATTAGACTATTTATTGGGTTATCTCCCTCCACTAACTCACATGTGGTCAAAGGTTTATTTGAGACTCAAATAAAGGCAGCTGGTCACATGCCACCTGCTCTGAGCTGTGCTGCACGGAAGCTCCAGAGAATAGCAGGAAGCTGTCTCTGTTACTCATGCTGAGTTCATAGACCTTGACCTTTAGGGTGTGAAAAAGAATTGTTGAAAAGTTTGGGAAGTAATAACTAAAGTTCCTAGGCATTCATGATTAGGTTAAAACAAATAGTATGTTAATGTCTTCAATTTAAAGGACTTATGTTTGAATGGTATAAATTTCGATTCCCTGTTAAGGAATATTAATAGATTATAAAGTACATTTGCCTCTCACTTTGCAGATACTAACTTTAAAAGGGAACAGGCCACCTAGTTAGGATGATAATTTTGTTTAAGGCTATAGGAGATGTTTTGTACCTTTTTGTTCTATGGTCCCTTAAGTATAACTTTTCACTGTGAGATCAACTTAGTGAAGCACATGTACGCATTATTCGACACCAGAATCCTGTACCTAGTTACTAAAACTACTGGGCCATTTTATTTGCGATTTTTTTTTCCTATTGAGAGTTGTTCAAATTTTGGAAATTAATAAGAGGATCTCTAAAAGATTTCACATTGAAGTTTATTCCATAGTTGATGTAAGTTTTTCAGGTTACTGAGAATTTTTTTAAAAAGGATACCTTAAAGGTATACAACAGATATTGAAGGAAAGTAGAGTAAACCAGCTCCTCCAGGGCATCTTGTATGACAGCTTTTTCAGTGATGTGCTGGGTTCAGCTTTCACTGCTCAGACAGCTGGGGTGAAAAAAGAGACTGAAGTATAATTGGGAATTCAGTTTACCTATGGATTGAAAATCTGCCAGTTTTGCCTGTCACTGATTTTAGTTCTATGTCCTTTGGCACATTTTAATAAGCTGTATTCTCCCTAACTGATCTTTTAGCTGGAAATCTCAATGCAGTCAATTCTCACTCTTCACAATCGTTATGTTCTCCATAGTTCCCATGAATACTGGTTAGTGAATCCTGAACCATTGTTCCTAGAGGAAAATTCTGGGGTAGGTTCTTAAAAACCTCTGATCACAACATTAACTTTCATCAATTGATCAGCACATCACTTTGTTTTATGTGTGTTTCTTATTACTATACATATTGTTTGTGGGTTTTTTAAAATATATTTTTATTGATTCAGAGAGGAAGGGGAGGGGGAGAGAGAGAGAAACATCCTTCCTATATAATAAAAGACTAATATGCAAATTGTCCCCTCAATTGGGAGTTCGACCAGGGGGCAGGGCTGGCTGGCCAACCGCCCATGGCTCCTCCTCCGCCCCCTCCCCCGATCGGGGGGTGGGCCAGCAGGACCCCACCCATGCACAAATTTGTGCACCAGGCCTCTAGTCAATGATAAGAGAGAAAACTGATTGGCTGCCTCCTGCACACCCCCTACTGGGGATTGAGCTAACAACCTGGGCATGTGCCCTGACTGGGAATCGCACCGGTGACCTCTTGGTTCTGGGTCGATGCTCAATTGCTGAGCCATACCAGCCGGCCTAGTATATATTGCTGATTCATTAACATTGAGCTCACAACCAACTCATGTCTGAAAGAAGCTTATCTAACTAGCATATTTTCTTCGAAAGGACATCAAAGCCTTCTTGTGCTCAGAGGCTCTGAATAGCACTTCAACACTATGCTTGGGGGCCATTTTAAACAGCAAAATCACCCATAAAAAACACAAAAATGCAAAATGCAAGGTACTAAATAGACCATGACGAAGACACTTATTTACAGTGTAAGAGCTGAAATACGAAGGCAGCTCGTCCCCTTGTTGGACCTCAGCTGGGAACGTGTGCACTGGGTGACCCTGCGCATGTCTGCAGATCACTGTGGAAGGGCCATGAGTGTGGATGTGGGTTACAAAGAAATGTTAGTGAAGAGGCATAGTCACAGATAGAGAATCTGAGAATAAGAGAATCAGCTGCACACACTTTCCCGATTAGTGAAAACTACAAAATTATAATTATTTTCTTTAGAGTTTTTTGTCATGCCTGTTGTTTTTATGTTGCAATTTATAGTGACTTAATCATGGCAAAAATGAACTAAAGGAATGGAGAAATGGTTAGGCTTGAAAGCCGATCAAATAAGGCTATCTGGGTTGGTTTGATTGTTGAGAAAAATAATATGCAGGATTCTCTGAGATACTGTAGGACTCTCTTACTGTTACTTCTCATTAAATGCCTGCAGGTCAAATGCTTGATGTCACAAGTTCCTATATATGAAAAGTGCAGAAACAAGGGTATAATTCTAGGCTCTGGATGTTTGGGTTGAGTGTCAACATGTGAGTCTTTTGGAAAACCCCAATTTCCAGTGCTTCATCTCATTAAGAACGTTGACACTGCATTTTACCAGAAGTCCATGTGATGATTACTTTTTTTCATTTATTTTAATGAGTTCTAGGTTTTTCTTGTTCTTTGGGGGTATTAGGTTCTATTCCAAAAATATTTATATTCTGCCACGATTTTCTTGAGTTATAAACAGGTGCATACAGTGGGGCCTTGACTTACGAGTTTAATTCGTTCCGTGATGGAGCTCATAACTCAAATTACTCATATGTCAAATCACTGTGACGTTCGCTGCGCCAACTAGCGGTGGTGTATCTGAAGCTGGCTGGTAACCCGAATTTTTTTGAGCTTGCAACTCAAAGCAAAAAATCGGCCGAGAGACAGCTCGTATCAAAAAAAAACACCTCGTTAGTCGGGACACTCGTAAGTCAAGGCCCCACTGTACTCTTATTAATGTTTATACCACAGATATATGCAAAAGTGGTCCTTTATTTTGGTAACCAGAAAGAGCAGAGATTAGGATTGATATATAGAATTATTAAAAAGACTGGTTTCTAAAGCAGATGGTTTCATAGGGTTTTGTTAACTTTTCATCTGACTGCTGCTCATTGCTCTGTTAATTACCATCTGGAATTTGAAAAGTAGATTTTTTAAGTTGTTTTGTTGATTTCCTCTTCATGATATATGTTGTATGCTGATAGAAAAAAACCCTTTTAAATAAAGGGTTTTGTTAAAATACAGGAGTGGGCAAAAGTAGGTTTACAGTTGTTCGAATGGAAAATAATACAGTAATTAATAAATAATAACACAAGAATAAACTCAGTGCTTCCCATACTCAACTGAGACCTACTTTTGCCCAGCCCTGTATATCCCTGAGCCCAGCGTGGCCTCAGCAGAACCTCCCTTCCATGCCAGCAGGTTGATCCATTGCGCTCCATTTGTTTAACTGGCTACAGTACCAGAGTGTTGTAGCTGATGACTTTTTGCTTTGTTCATGTTGCTTTCTTTTTCTGAAGGGCAGGGATGTGCTTGTTGTGCCAAGTTCTTAAAAAGCCAGCAGACTGGCCAACAGGTTTGTGGAGGTTCCCGGGGGATATGGGGCAGGAGGGGAGAATTGTAAGGTGGTGATAATCGAGCTGTTGCCAGCCCCTTTGAAGGTTGTCTGAGCTGCTGCTGACATTTACACTGAGGAGCAGGAATTGTTTATACATCTCTTGGCCTGCCATCAGGAAGATAGGAACTCTTCTTGTACTTCAAAGCCAAAAAGGGGGTGGGGGGAGATATGGAGGAATCTGATGGATAAGTGGTGCCTGGTCCCTCTTTTATTTATCTAGGAATTTTCTGTGTGTGCTTGCTAAGAGATGGGAAGTTATTCAGACAACTTAAAGTCACGTGTAGTTTGCTTTAGCATTCTGTCAGGGACCTAAACAAACACTCCAAGATAATTCCCTCCTGTGTCTCTAGTTTCCTCTTAGCTGATCGGTGCTGCTAGGCCACAGCCCTGGCAAAACAGAGGAAGACTGCAGTTTGTAAGGGAAAAACTCCTCACAGATCATTACAAGTTGTCCCTAGTTTGGAGCTGAGAGTTAAGAGAATTGGATTATAGCTTCAATTTCGCCCTTAATTAACTGGTTGGCTTTTGATAAATTGCCTCCCCTTGAACCTCCTCGTCTGTGAAATGAGGGAGTTGGACAAAATGTTCCCTTCAGTCCCTCGCATTTCTCATGTTCTCTGCTTCTGTGATTATTTGTCGAGATTGTACCATCTTTTACATCATAGTCTACAGTGAAGACCACTGCACATCACATTTATCTTTGGCAACTAATTCGCAATACACAGTGGTCTTCACTGATGGACATTCATGAATATTGAGATTTTGCATGCTACCACTTTTTTCTCTATTGCTTTTTAAGAGAATGGCACATAGTATTAATCCTGTCAGAGTTACACAGCTACTGATTCTTAGGCTTGTATTTTTCAAAATCTAAACATGGAATTGAATACCTCTCACAGATATTGTTGAAATGAACTTCTGGGAAAATCTCTAACAACCTGAGAACTGGCGTTAAGTTGGTTTGTTTCCCTACCTGCGTTTTGTGTGCTGTATGCAGCAGAGACTTGTGCCCAGGGATGGCATCCTCTGGGGGAAACTTGAAGGCTCCTTCTACTCAACTCAGCTTTATCATGAGGACTCTGCATTAATAGATCAGTTAGGAGGCCATTAGCTACACTTAGCAGAGATCCCAGCTCCAACTAGCTTAGTCAGGGAATTAATGACTCATAACTAAATGCACAGGCAGGACAGGCTTCAGGGTCAGCACAGTCCAGTGTCGTAGGTGCTGCTGCTCCACTTATGTTGGCTTTATCTTCAGGTTGTGCTCATGGTGTCAGGACCCCATAGCGACCTTTTGCTTTGCATTAACACCCGACACTTTGGGGACTCAATCTGAGCACTATGGACATTTGGGCCAGATCATTCTGTGATGCTGTGGAACTGTCCTGTGCATTGCAGGGTAGTTAGCAGCATCCCTGGCCTCACCCCATGAGATGCCACTAGCATTTGTGATCATAAAAAATGTCTCCAGACATTACCGAATGGTTGCTTGGAGGGTATTTGTGCAAAAACATCCTGGTTGAGAGCCACTGGTTTAGAAAGAAAGATAGCCCATTTATTTCATCAGGTGGCTAAGGAAATTTGTTTCCTAAGAGAGCCTAAGTTCCCCCCTTTGTCTCACTGCCTCGGTCTGGGTCACTCCCCCACTCCTGACCCCGCACCTGTGAGGGGTGGACTTCAGGCTTATCGAGTCCACACTGGAGCTAGGGATGGCATCAGCTTCCCTGAGGCATGAAACTCGTCAGGGGAGGGGGAGTGCCTCAGTGAAGTCAGAGAACGGGGATGGAAGCTGGGTAGGAACCCAACAGTGGCCATGACCACTGCATCCTAAATGTGTCTTTATTTTTCTTCCTCTCAGTGAGGACTATGGAAAGAACTTTAAGGATATTACAAATCTCATCAATAACACCTTCATTCGGACTGAATTTGGCATGGCTATTGGTCCTGAGAACTCTGGAAAGGTGAGTCTCGTTCGTGCATGTGTAGAGCTGTGCTTGATGCCACACTTGGGCGCTCAGGTGTTAATGTTAGAATGATCCAGAGATACACAGCAGTGCATTTAGTTTGCTATTACTTTGCTTTAAAATTAAAACCTAATTTAATACTGATCACAAAAGAACTGGATTGGTTCCTTTTTGGCCTCTGTCTACGATGCACCCAAACTCTTAGGTGGCAGCTGGTTAGCATTACAGTGTACACTCCTAAGACACACATTTTATTTTAGTCTTTGGCAAACTGGCTGATCTCAAACTGACCGGCTTGCATCCATAGACATGATGCATTATCTCAATTCAGGATAATATTTTTTGATAAGACTAACACTTAAGGAGTGGGGTGCACCAACTAATCTGTCTTTATAATTCTTACTTTGGGAACTGAAATTTTCTTAACTGATGTCTTGTGGAAGTGGTGTAGGACTTCCTGAGCTTTCATAGTGTCACACCCTGAATCTGAATTGCCTTCTTCCTAACCAGGTGATTTTAACAGCAGAGGTGTCTGGAGGAAGTCCCGGAGGAAGAATCTTCAGATCGTCAGATTTTGCAAAGAACTTTGTCCAGACCAATCTCCCATTTCATCCTCTGACTCAGATGATGTATAGCCCTCAGAACTCCAATTATCTTTTAGCCCTCAGCACTGAAGTAAGTCTCCTTGAAGAAGTTGTCTTGCCCTTTGCATTTTTATCCTCTAACATCTAGCCTTGAAAGGCCCCTTTAGCTAATAATTTTATGAAGTATTGGACTGATTTCTGGTGACTTTGTATGTCATGAAATATATATATTTTTTGTGTTTTGTCCTATTTGGTAAAAGGCACAATTACCATGTACTATCTATTCCAGATAAGTATGATATCTAGTTGTCATTACAATTTTTAAAATATTTATTTATTACATTGACTGGGGTGACAGTGATCAACATGATCATATAGGGTTCAGGTGTGGGTTTCTGTTACAAGGTCTTATATTGCACTGTGTGCCCACCACCCAAAGCCAGATCTTCTCCTGTCAGCTTTATTACAGTTTTTAAAAGTGAATATTTGTGTACTATTGGAAAACTGAACTAGAACACAGTGTAATGTAATCATCCTTGCTCTGCAAGGGACAAGCATAGATTGTCACAGTCCTGATGTCATTGTTTCTTTCCTGTGGCCAAACCACATCTTTCTAATTTTTCTTTTTTGTTCGTTGCATAGTCTATCAAGCATATTGATTTCTGTCTTCAAAACTCATGTATTATAAGTATCCAGAGTCTTAAATCCCCGCGCCCCACCCCAGTCCTGTGCTCTTCCCAGAAGCCAGTGCCCCTCCCTCTCTCCTGAAATTCCCTGCGGAGCTCGTGCAGCTTTCCTTTCCCAAGGACCAAAGTGGCTGAGTTGCTCGACTATGATAATCACCATTACACTGCATATTTAGATGGCTCTCTCACTCTCCTTATTTCTTAGAGTGTGGTCTACTGACCAACAACATCAGAAACCCCAGAAGCTGATTTAAATGCAGATTCCTAGGCCCCACCCCATACAGTACATCAGTGACTTTTGGTGGCGAGGTTTTTACCAGCTCCCCAGCTGAGCCTGCCCACTAAAATTTGAGAATCATTGCTATGATGACCGTTCTGGGGACAGAAACAGGATTATCAGATGTGGCTGAGCAAAGGGGTGGCAAAGGGAAGGGAAAGGGCACTGGAAGACAGGTCTGGCTCTGGGCTCTGTGGGCAGATCTGAGCAGAGGTAAGGCTGTAGGGCTCAAGGAAGGCCAGAGTTAAGCTTAGCCCAAAGGAGGCCAGAGGAAGGAAACTAGCCTGCTGGGTATGCTTCAGACTTTCAAGAAACAATTCCTGGAAATTCCTTCCACCAGCTTAAGCTGAAAGCCCTTCAGGGAGCAAAGAGACCTCTTAGGAGTGGACAGAACCATCGATCTCCCCCTTGACCATCCCATTGCCATTACCAAGTTATCTTAAGGTGGTTGAAACAGGCTGTCCTCAGCAATAGCTGGGCACAACCTGCTTTTATATCTGAAATTACTTTCAATTAAGGAAGTACAGATAATTGGGGCAGAGAAGATGGGCCAGTTTGTACTCAAGTGCAAAGAGGTGATATCAGCCCCTTTCCTGTTTCTAAGTACAATTAGGTAAATTAGAAATGCTGAGCATTATCAGAGGAAGAAAATGAAAAGAAAAAAGAATGGTGGGTGGGGAGCACTGAGGGGAAATTCTGCCTCGACCATTTAATCCCAGCTGTACCAGGACATGTGTGTCCCCCTCCACCGAATCTGGGTGCAGTGCAACTGACACGGTCAGTCTTCATCTTACTGTCTCTGCTGCATTTGAAAGGTTTGGCCAGTCCCTCCTTTTGGGAATTCTGCTTGCTTGGCTTCAGTGACATCATTCCCTTTAGTTCTTCCCTATGTTCTAACCATTCCTTCTTGGTCTCTCTCTTCAACTCCTTTCAACCGACCCTTAAATCACTGCTGCCCGTTCTGCTCAGTAATCTCTTCCACCATTTAACCGCCACTGTGATGTGTCCGATTCTCAGGTCCCCGTGTCTGGTCCTGGCTTCCTCGTGGGGCCTCTGATTCCTGTCTTGCTGCCTCCTGGGAGCCTCTAGCTGGATGTCCCACAGGCACCTCACACTCAGTTAAATCAACTTCTCTCTGCTCTTCTCTCAGACATACTCTTCTTCTCTTAATCCTTGTACTGGTTAAAGATTCCACAGGGCCTCGTATCCCTGAACCAGAATCCAGAGTGATCAACTGCCCCCACCCACATACACAACCCATCCTGCCCTGTAGGAAAAGTCCAGTTCTTCTGAAACTAACTTCTAAATTCTCCCTGAGCCTGTTCCTCACAGCCATGGGGCAGGGCCTCACTAACTCTTCATGAGTGAAATGTGGCCGTTATGCACTGTTTTTCCTGCTTCTGGTTTGGACACTCTGCAGTCCACCTTTCCCACTGTCATCCGAGGGTTCCTCCTCCCTCTCTCCTGCGTTAGCTGCTCCTCCCCTCCCTGGGAACTGTGCTCCCGCACACACCACCATGCTTATCGCCTCCCTGCCTTTGCTAGTTCTAACATCTCCTCTCCCCATTTGCCTTCTTTTGGTTACACTGCTCATCATTTAAGACTCAGTTCAACTGTCTCCTTCACAAACCGTCTTTGATGCAACGTTCTTCTTTTCCCTACTCTTACCCGAGAGACCATGCTTCCATAACACTGACCCATCGTATCACATTTTCTTATCTGGGCCTCTAGTTAACCGTGAGCTCCTTGAGAGCAGGGAGTGTGTCTTACTCGTCTTTGTATCCCCAATGCAACGTCTGGAACAGTGCCTGGCACATAGTAGGCACTTCTTAAGCATTTGTTACTTGGAACCTCCCAGCCTCTGAAGGGGCCCCTGTAAACCATGTATCTCTGGAGCTCAGGCAGCTCAGATGGAACGTCAGTGTATGTTTACTGTCCCAGATGATTAGATGTGAATTATTAAAGGTCATACAAGCAGCTGCACAGGATAAAGCTGGAATTTTGATAAGTCATTTATAATCTTTCAGAATGGCCTGTGGGTGTCCAAGAATTTTGGGGGAAAATGGGAAGAAATCCACAAAGCAGTATGTTTGGCCAAATGGTGAGTAACAGAAGACTCCATCTGTGCAGAGCCCTAAACCGTTCCTGGCAGCGCTGCCAAAAGTCACATGACTAAATGTTGAGCACTTACTATGTGCCAAATACTCTTCAGGGTGCCACAAGGGATACGAGAGGGGGTATGACACAGGCCTCGACCTGGAGGAGCTTCTCAGTCTGCCAGGAAAGACGACGTAGCCTCACTAAACGTTACAACATAAAGTGGAAAACAAGGCTCACAACTGGGTAGCTGCTGCTGCTGAGGTTTATTCTCCATAAATAGTGACTTCAGTTGGAATAGCATAAAATACAGCTTTGATTTGGGGACTTAGGTACTTCTCTGCCCCTCCCCCCTCCCCAGACTGACACCCCCTCATCTAGAGACTCATTTCAGTTATGAGGAATGGTCCCTTCGCGACGCCAGTCACACTGTCCATGCACCAAAACTCATTCACTTTTCTTGGGGACCCCCTCAGGTGCCTGCTTAAAGGGGCTGTAGGGGGCTCTGACCAGGGAGTCAAGTCCTAACCTGTCTCTGCTGCTAGTCAGTGGCTTAACCTCTCTGGGCTTTAGTTTTTCCCTTCTGTCTATGAACAGAGATTTGTTTGAGGATTTGGGAGATGTCTGGACAAGAATTAAGAGCCTTTATACCTCCGAAATTCTTGATTAGGCTCAGACCCTTGCTTAGAGCCTCTTTGTTCTTTCTCTTTGGCTAATTTCAGCAAATTTGTTCATCTGTTTCCCAGTTAATAGCAAATTATTGCCAGAGGTGGGTACATGAGTACTGACAACAAGCGCACACCAGGAGAACTGCAGAGCAAAGACGGAGAACATAACAGGATGAAATTATTCAGTGCCAGATCCAGAGCGCATACACCACAGTAACTTCTAACGGGCACACCATGTTCTAGTTTCATAGGGTTGATGCTCAGTGACCCACAATCCCAAGGGAGAGTTTCATATTTAATGTCCTCTATTTAGGGAGTCAGGAACATTTGTGATATAGACATTGGCAAATATATCTACCAAAATTCACTAAAATACTAAAAAAATGTTGCTTTTCTGGAAAATGCTGGTTAGGTGAGGTTTTTGTAGCACCACTCTGGTACCCATGCCATAGCTGCTTTCATTTTATGGGTTTGTTACTTATATGGTCTTTTATGGAAGGAAGTAGTCTTTAAAGTAACTAAGTTAACAAATTGTTTCACTGTAGGATGTAATCAAGACTATAGGAATTTTGATCACTAAAACTGGTCTTTATGTACATATCACCACAAGGTACACTTTAAATATCTTACAATTTCATTTGTAAATTATACTTCAATAAAGCTAAAAGAAACAAACAGAAAGGTCATCTTTAAAACTAAAGAGTTATTTTAAAATGGTATTTTTTAAAAATAGATTTTTATTGATTTCAGAGAGGAAGGGAGACGGGGAGAGAGAAACATCAATGATGAGAGAGAATCATTGATTGGCTGCCTCCTGCACATCCCCTACTGGGGATTGAGCCCACAACCCAGGCATGTGCCCTTGCCCAGAATCAAACCCAGAACCTTCCAGTCCGCAGGCCAATGCTCTATCCACTGAGGCAAACTGGCCAGGGCTTAAAATGGTATTTTATTTTATATTCTATACAAGATTTTTTACTTTTGTAACTCGTTTCTTTGATTAGTGTCTAAGTATAAGCTAACTGGGTTGCTGATAACTGTTTACTCACCTTTTAGATCTTTGATCTCTAGGAGCTGACAACTGAAGTTCTGAAAGAACATGCGCAGAGCCAGCCCCTTTGCCGGGGCTAATCTATAAGTACTATTGGTCTGAATCGAGTTCCCTATAAACTCCCTTTCCAAGTTAAAGTTTAAATAATTCAACCTCTGACCCAGTTGTCTGTTTGAGATGAAAGAACTAAATTATTTAGCCCATGCAAAGCATTAAGCTAGGTTCTGAGGGGGAACAACAAAGCATAACACTTAGTACCTGCCCAACAGTGTAGTGGAAGAGATAAGGCACACATCAGTGATTAGCGTAGCTAAGTGGGAGGCTGAGGAATGCACGCGCTTTCCAGCAGAGCCTCTCCATCTCAGCACTAAGGACATTTTGGACCGGACTGTTCTTTGTTGTGGGGGCGTCCTGGGCCTTGTAGGATGTTTAGCAGCATCTCTGGCCTCTACCCACTATATACTAGTAATAACTTCTCTTTCTCCGGAAGTGACAACCAGAAATGTCCCTTGGGGAGCAAAATCACCCCTGGTTGAGAACCCCTGCTCTAGAAGTTTGCAGCAAAGAAGCCTCTAGCTGGAGTGACAGGGAAAGCTTCACGGAAGAGCTAGATTGTAAGCTACAGACTGGCAATTTGCGAGGGTATGATGTGGTTACACAAGAGAAAAGCATTTTCAGAAGAAAGCAGTAAGAGCAAATGCTAGAGGCAGATCTGGAGAGTGTAGGTAGACCAGTTAGACAAGCTGGAAGAGAAGTTCAGAGGACTGTGGCAAATGCCTGGAGCCAGGCTCTGGGGAACCCTGACAGTGAGCTGTCAGAGTCCAGAGTTGCTGCTTTCACTAGTACCTATGGAGGAGGCTTACTAGACTTGCTTGGAGCTTTGTGACAAAGGTTGACATTGCGTTAACACCTGGAACCATGTCTTTTCCCTGTCTTTGCCTCATTGCAGGGGATCAGAAAACACCATCTTCTTTACTACCCATGTGAATGGCTCCTGCAGTAAGTATATTTTAGTCCCAGAAGAGTGTCCCATCCATTCGTGATAGAATATTCTGGGTCATAAGAGGTAGAAATATCAAAGTTCCTTCCATTCTTCTATAATTTTAATAGCTAATATAGCTGTTAATTATTTTTTAAAATCTTGAAAGTACAACCTAATTACTATACTGTGCCTAGATCAGATAAAACTGCAGGCTGTACACAGAGATGCTATACTTAATTTCAGCAGTGTATTTACATAAAGTAAACATTAAGCTACAAACAGTAACAGATCGAAATGCCTGGTGATTTCTGCGAAAGAGCATGGATAGTGTTTATCAGTGGAAGCCAGTGGCTTTCCAATCAGTGGCACAGTTTTAAAGCAGAAAGCATAATTTTTTATTTATTCATTCAACAAATTCATTCATTTATTCATTTGAGCACCTGTAGTAGTATGCTAAACACTATATAAGGATGAAGAGAATAAGAGACCCAAGGCTACTCTCATGTTAAATTCAAGTAGGGATGAAGAGATAAATGACCAACAAGAAAACCAAAACTCAAACAACTTAAAATAGAATAAGATAATTTCAAATTATGTCATGAAGAAAGTAAATAGGATGCTGTGGCTGTGATTTTTTAAAAATATATCTTTATTGATTTCAGAGAGGAAGGGAGAGGGAAAGAGAGATAGAAACATCAATGATGAGAGAGAATCACTGATTGGCTGCCCCCTGCACGTCTCCCACTGGGGACCAAGCCCACAACCCAGGCATGTGCCCTTGACCAGAATCGAACCCGGGACCCTTCAGTCCGCAGGCTGACACTCCATCCACTGAGCCAAACCAGCCAGGGCTGTGGCTGTGATTTTTTATGCAACATTGTATTGGAATTAACTAAAACTCTATCTGTCCAAGGTATAACCTCACATGTATAAACATAAAACCCACATGTGAATTCCCTGTGTGTAATGCCACATCAATTTATATCCTCATTTGATTAACATCCATAGGATTAGAAATCCTGTAGCTATAAAATTCAGAACAATTCTAAAACAGCTGTCTGAACTAGAGGCTCACTAGGAAGTGACATTTTAATTACTACTTCATCTTGTTTAAGAAGCTGACCTTGGGGCACTGGAATTATGGAGGACTTCAGATTTGGGAAAAAGCTTCAAAACCATTGGTGTGAAAATCTACTCATTTGGTCTTGGGGGACGTTTCCTTTTTGCCTCTGTGATGGCTGACAAGGTGAGTGTTTGCCTCTTCTCTTTGGATTCTAATGTTTCTGTAAATATGCCTCCTATAGATCCCTTTTACTCCTTGGACTTTTTGCAGTCTATATATATAAAAGGCTAAGTGACCAAATCTCTGGCCCTACCCACTATATACTAGTAATAACTTCTCTTTCTCCGGAAGTGACAACCAGAAATGTCCCTTGGGGAGCAAAATCACCCCTGGTTGAGAACCCCTGCTCTAGAAGTTTGCAGCAAAGAAGCCTCTAGCTGGAGTGACAGGGAAAGCTTCACGGAAGAGCTAGATTGTAAGCTACAGACTGGCAATTTGCGAGGGTATGATGTGGTTACACAAGAGAAAAGCATTTTCAGAAGAAAGCAGTAAGAGCAAATGCTAGAGGCAGATCTGGAGAGTGTAGGTAGACCAGTTAGACAAGCTGGAAGAGAAGTTCAGAGGACTGTGGCAAATGCCTGGAGCCAGGCTCTGGGGAACCCTGACAGTGAGCTGTCAGAGTCCAGAGTTGCTGCTTTCACTAGTACCTATGGAGGAGGCTTACTAGACTTGCTTGGAGCTTTGTGACAAAGGTTGACATTGCGTTAACACCTGGAACCATGTCTTTTCCCTGTCTTTGCCTCATTGCAGGGGATCAGAAAACACCATCTTCTTTACTACCCATGTGAATGGCTCCTGCAGTAAGTATATTTTAGTCCCAGAAGAGTGTCCCATCCATTCGTGATAGAATATTCTGGGTCATAAGAGGTAGAAATATCAAAGTTCCTTCCATTCTTCTATAATTTTAATAGCTAATATAGCTGTTAATTATTTTTTAAAATCTTGAAAGTACAACCTAATTACTATAATGTGCCTAGATCAGATAAAACTGCAGGCTGTACACAGAGATGCTATACTTAATTTCAGCAGTGTATTTACATAAAGTAAACATTAAGCTACAAACAGTAACAGATCGAAATGCCTGGTGATTTCTGCGAAAGAGCATGGATAGTGTTTATCAGTGGAAGCCAGTGGCTTTCCAATCAGTGGCACAGTTTTAAAGCAGAAAGCGTAATTTTTTATTTATTCATTCAACAAATTCATTCATTTATTCATTTGAGCACCTGTAGTAGTATGCTAAACACTATATAAGGATGAAGAGAATAAGAGACCCAAGGCTACTCTCATGTTAAATTCAAGTAGGGATGAAGAGATAAATGACCAACAAGAAAACCAAAACTCAAACAACTTAAAATAGAATAAGATAATTTCAAATTATGTCATGAAGAAAGTAAATAGGATGCTGTGGCTGTGATTTTTTAAAAATATATCTTTATTGATTTCAGAGAGGAAGGGAGAGGGAAAGAGAGATAGAAACATCAATGATGAGAGAGAATCACTGATTGGCTGCCCCCTGCACGTCTCCCACTGGGGACCAAGCCCACAACCCAGGCATGTGCCCTTGACCAGAATCGAACCCGGGACCCTTCAGTCCGCAGGCTGACACTCCATCCACTGAGCCAAACCAGCCAGGGCTGTGGCTGTGATTTTTTATGCAACATTGTATTGGAATTAACTAAAACTCTATCTGTCCAAGGTATAACCTCACATGTATAAACATAAAACCCACATGTGAATTCCCTGTGTCTAATGCCACATCAATTTATATCCTCATTTGATTAACATCCATAGGATTAGAAATCCTGTAGCTATAAAATTCAGAACAATTCTAAAACAGCTGTCTGAACTAGAGGCTCACTAGGAAGTGACATTTTAATTACTACTTCATCTTGTTTAAGAAGCTGACCTTGGGGCACTGGAATTATGGAGGACTTCAGATTTGGGAAAAAGCTTCAAAACCATTGGTGTGAAAATCTACTCATTTGGTCTTGGGGGACGTTTCCTTTTTGCCTCTGTGATGGCTGACAAGGTGAGTGTTTGCCTCTTCTCTTTGGATTCTAATGTTTCTGTAAATATGCCTCCTATAGATCCCTTTTACTCCTTGGACTTTTTGCAATCTATATATATAAAAGGCTAAGTGACCGACCATACTGAGCAGCCGGTACATATGACGCACACTGGCAATTTATAAATGTTGACTCGAGCATGTGCAATACATGTAAAACTCTCACTGGTGCCAATCATACACATGCGTTTCGATCTGTCATTGTCGATTGTGAATTTGGTTATTTTTGTTGACATTCTGAAGCTGAAAGAAAGCGGTGGCGTTGACAGAATATGTCTGAAGACTAACTATTGACACAACTGTTCCCATATGACACTGGCCTCCCATTTAAATTAATTTGAAGACAGTTTCCCGTGATGCCAGCATTTGCGATGACTATTAATAAATCACAAGGACAAACTCTAGACAGAGTAGGAATATTCATTCAACAATGGTCAGTTATATGTTGCTTTCAGACATGGTCAGTTATATGTTGCTTTCTCTCATGTTTGAAGAATGTGTGACGTTAAAGTTGTATTGTAAATACTTCATCACAAGGGATATTAGTCAAGCACTCTGAAAGTGTTTTTACTCTTAATGTGGTATACAGGGAGATACTAGAATAAGTTTAATCAATTTATCAGTCATTGTTTTTATCAATGTTGCCTTTATATCATGTCTTTGTTGTATCATGTTATTGTTTATTAATCAATTTATATGTTATTTTCATATACATTTTACTAATTTTCTTTCATCTCTGACACTTCTATTATAGAGAAAGGGCGAATAGCAATATTAAAATATTTCTTCTAATTAATTTCCTATCAATGTGCACGAATCTGTGCACCAGGCCACTGGTATTTGATATCACTCTAAGATTTGCGGGCGGTTCTTTTAGAGAGACTGATTGACTCTTCTGGGCTATCCTGGCACTTCAGCCTGTCACCACCACATGAATTCTGGTGTCTGTTTTGGGATATGTAGACGCAGTGTTTGGGCTTTACTCGGACATGGATATATGCAATCCATTTGTTTCAGTAATAATAATAGAAATAGGTGACATTCATTGAGTACATAACAGTGAACAAAACAGATAAATGTCCTGTTCACAGAGCTTATAGTTAAGTAGGGGAGATAGATACTAAACTAATAAATATGATGTAATATCAGGTCAGGATTAAAGCTACGAAGAAATCTAAAGCAGCATAAGGAAATAGAAAGTGACAGGAATTGGAGCAGGGCTGTTTTAGGTGGGGTGGTTTGGACGTGCTCTCTGAGACCTGACTGGGGTGAGAGCATAGCTATGTGGACATCTAGGCTCAGGGAACAGGACGTGCACAGACCTCAGGCTGGAGCATGCCTGACATATCGAAGAAAAGTGACAAGGGCAGTCCAAAGAGGAGGAGCCAGCGGCCAGATCATACAGGGCCTTTATAAGTGGTGATTAAGACCTTGGCTTTTATTCTTGTTGTGTTGGGAAGCTGGGAACGGGTTGTGAGCAGGGTGTGGTGTAATCTGACTTCTTGACAGAATAAGTATGCGCAGAGTAGTCTGCCGGGGCAGGAACGGCAGAGCCAGAGCAGCTGGGAGGCCATTAGAGTAGTGTAAGGGGGGAGAGGGGGCAAGTGGTGAGATGGTGGGTGTGTTTTTCAATGTATTGCCAATAGGATTTGCTGATGGATTAATGTGGATTGTGAGAGAATGAGAGAAACTAAAGATAACTTTAGAGTCTTTGGCCCAAGCAACTGACTGAATGGTGGTACCATTTACTAAAATGGCAAAGACTGAAGCATGTTTCGGGGAGGAAGATCAAGAATTCAGTTTTGGATGTGAGATGCCTGTTAGATATCTAAGTGGAAATGTCATGTTAGTATTTGGGTATCTCCCCAAATTATATGTGTTTAGAGCCATGTGATTAGATGATATCTTCTGGAGGATGAGTACATAGAACAGAGTGGGAGGACTGAGCACGCCCTGAAGCACCCACCACTGAAAGGTTGGAAGGAGATGGAGAGCCCAGCAAAGAAGACTGGGAGGGAGGGACCAGTGAGGCAGGGCGAATAGGACAATGCGAGATTGTGAAAGCCACATGAAAAAGGTGTTTCAGGAAAGACGAAGTGGTCAGCTGTGCTAAACTTAGCTGAGATGTTGAATTAGGTGAGTGCTGGGAATTAGCCACTGGAGCTGGCAAAATGGAGGTTGTTGGTGAGCTTGACTAAAGCCGTTTCATTGCAGTGCTGAGGTGAAAAAACTGGTTAGAGGGGGTTCAGAGAGAATTGGAGATGGCTAAGCAGACAGTAACTACAGTAACTCCCTCGAGCAGTTTTGTAATTATCCTCCCAACAACCCTTTAAGCTAATACTGTTACTTCAATTTCTATGTGTGCAAACTGAGTAACTTGCCTGGAGTCACCCTGAGGTGGAACCCTGGTAGAAATCAGACTGATTCCAGACATAGCCTCCTACACTGTACTACAATTATACAAAACTAAAATTCCACTGTGTGCTTTTGAACTTTAACTTCTACCTATAACAATGAGAGTAAGATTCAAAGTGAACATCTAAGTGTATAAGTTTTAGAAAAATACATAACTGTACGTGTCACTGAACTTTAAAGAGTATTTAACATAAGGAGGCCCTGGAAGTCAGTCTCATGCCCTAGCTAGTTGTGTCTAGTAGCTATTTTAAACTATTTATGAGGAAGTATGTGTTAATTACATCCTTAACAGACTCCTTTTAACAGCTAAAGCCCTGATCAGATTCCTTTTATTAATTTCTGACACTCCTTGGCCTCTTCCCAGCCGGTGCACATTCCCCTCCTTATGGCTGTTCTGAGAGACTTCCATAAAGAGATGTCACATATTGACTTCCTTGTGATCACCCAAGCATGGCTTTCATCTCCATTTTCTAGACCCTTTGTTATCTACTTCTTTGGATTATACCAAGACTGTGTCAAAGAGACCAAATCTTTATGCAGCAATCCGCACTTAAGAATGATCTGAGCACGCATATGTGAATGGCTGTAAAGCCAAGTCAGGGATGGTACCATGACATCCTTGGCTCCAATGAAGGAACTAGGAATGCCAGAGGTTGGGAGGATAATAGCTTACAGGCCCCACTAGAATGAAGAAGCCAGGATAGTTTTGCTTACAATAAAACGGATTGTCACATTGCCTGGAACTTTGCTAGAGGTTGGAAATTGCTAGGTAGTTGGTACTGGGACCTTTCATTTATATCAGTTATACCCAGTGAGGAAATGGATAATGATACTTGTAATTATTAATAATGTACCTAGTATGTCCCTGCACATGGTACCTTGGAAGAAAATTAAAAAGATATATGTTGGCATTTGTTCCAGGATACAACAAGAAGGATTCATGTGTCAACTGATCAAGGGGACACGTGGAGCATGGCCCAGCTGCCCTCTGTGGGGCAGGAGCAGTTCTACTCTATTCTAGCAGCCAGTGATGACATGGTGTTCATGCACGTAGACGAGCCTGGAGGTAAGAGCGTTTCAGAGGCCCACTCTTGAATTTATAGAGATCAAAGCTGCAAGCCCTACTTTTAGTAGCTTTTTTTCTTACCCCTAGGAATTTATTAGTGCCCTACTTGAGTATTTTGTCTTAGAAAGTGTAACCTCTGTTAAAAGGGGCCACTTGTTTTGACATTGTCTCGTTTGTGTGCATATCCAAGGGTCTACAACAATGCTGCTCAAAGAATGCTCAGAGGATGGGTACTAATTTGCAAACTCTGTTACTAAATAAGTAGAGAAAGTGAGAGCAGAATTTAGAAGCTCTTATAGCTATTTGACAAAGTAATTTTAGATGTGTTTAATCTAATGATAAAAGAGTTGATGGTTATATTTCATTGTTCTAGTGATAAATTTTTATGCTATTTTACAAAAGCATTGGTTTGTGACATAGTGGAAATTTAAAAGTTGATCTTTCATCATAGGCAGTTTGAGAAGCATTGCTCCAGAGGTTAAGATTAACAGAAGTGTAAGCTATGAATCTAAATACAGTGCCTCTGCCACCAAAATACATCTTGGAAGAGCTTTTCTGTAGCATCTGATTAACTCATTCAACAAACTCAGCACCTGCCATATTCCAAGCACTAAGTAACAGGGATACTAGAATTAAAGATGGACATGAGGATCAAAGATCTGGAGTATCAAAATAAAATAAAATAAAATAAAAAAGATCTTGAATATCAAACCTTGATTGGATCTCTGGTCTGTGTCTATATCATGAAGAGAGATGGTTGGCTAATGTGCAATGATTCACTCATGTGTATGGTTAGACTTTTGTTGCCTCGCTGTTCCCTCCCAAGACATAGTGTTTTTGTTTGTTTGCCTATTTCAGATACTGGGTTTGGCACCATCTTTACCTCTGACGATCGAGGTATTGTCTATTCCAAGTCCTTGGACCGACATCTCTACACCACCACAGGTGGTGAGACTGACTTCACCAATGTGACCTCCCTCCGTGGGGTCTACATAACAAGTGTGCTCTCTGAAGGTGAGTCTTGCTTGGCACAGCTGTCCTTCAGCTGAACATGGTGAGAGTAGAGGCCTCTGGGGAGACTGATGGCCCTGTCCCCCAGAAAGATTGCTTACCTTAGCCATCAGCCTACCTGTGTCAATTCTGGCTATACTTTTAAGTGAGTTATGGTAAATAGAACTAAGAAAGAGAGAGGGCACAGCAGTAGCCAGCCAGGCTTCTTCCGTTCTGCTCAGTGCTTTGCAGTGCTCACCTTTATTAAAGCTTACTTATGCAAACACACACATTACTCTAGTCTAGAGCACAGAGCTGACCACCCAGGGAGTCTCTTAAGGTTTTGTTTATTTACATATTTATTCTTTTATAGGAGGTGGGCTGTTTGTTTTTGTAAAGACCTTGCAATGGTCCACAAGGCCAAGTGATCTTGGCCCCCTATTTCCTCCCTGACCTCACTTCTCCCTCTTCTCTCCCTCTCCCTCTACTCTAGTCACTCTAGCTCTCAGTTCTCTGCCAATCCCCCTAAATCCACCAGGTTCACATGCTTGTGGTTTGGAGATGTGCATGGACTGTTCTCTGTTTTCCAAATATCTGCAGGGTTGACATCTCTTCCTTCCAGTCTGCTCATATTTACTTTCTGAATGAAACCTGCCATTGACTATCCTATTCTAAATTTCAGTCTGCCCTCCCCCATTCACACACACACACTGTCAGTCCCCCTCTAACTATGCAGATTTTTCTATTTTCTAACATACTATGAATTTACCACGTCTAGTGTTTGTCTGTCTCAGCCTACTAGAATGTAGTTTCACAAAGATGTGGTATTTTTGTGTGTGTGGTTTTTTGTTTGTTGTTTTTTCAGTTTTGTTTCACATAGTGGGCACACAACAATATTTATTAAGCCCTGGCCGGTATGGCTCAGTTGGTTGGAGAAACAGAACTTATTAGGGTTCTTCCAGTGTGTAGGGCTTAATATCATTCTCTTCCCATTCAGATAATTCTATCCAGACTATGATCACTTTTGACCAAGGAGGAAGGTGGAAGCACCTGAGGAAGCCTGAGAACAGTGAATGTGATGCTACAGCAAAAAATAAGAATGAGGTTTGTTTTACTCCAATTGTCATATGTATTTGGAGCAGAGCAGCCACTCTGTTCTGCTCTTATTGTGCCAGTTCTTTGAATAGTGAAGTTTAGTACTTGATTAGGGTTACAGGTAAAGGTGGAAAGCTTGAAAATGAGAGTAATGAAATTAACTTAGAATGTAGGAACTAGGGACTGCGAAGAAAGGCCAAGATACTATGGATTGTCTTTTAAAGAAAAACAAAACTGAGGGCTAACAATTTGTGTTTTGCAAAACTGCTGAATGGAAACAGAATGGACATATGGGTCGGGGATTAGTTAGGAGTCAGCACGGCAGCTCTGAGACATTAGGAATTCTGCAAAAGCCACAGGCCAGCCGTTCCTGAGCAGGGCAAAGCCGTGCTGTCCATTAACAAGAGAAGAGAACTTGGCCTTGTCTTCTCCTCTGCCTGGGTGCCACATAACTGGGGGGTGCAGGTGGTGACCCCTAGGAGAGACCTAGAACTAGGAATACAAAGGTGTTGCTCAGGAAATCCCAGATTCTGAGAGTGACAGGTCTTGACAGGCAAGAGAAAAAGAAAAGAGAAACAAGCTTTGTGCCTGGCTCTTTCAGAATCTGAAAGGTGCTTAGGGGAGCATTAAGAGTTTTCTTTCAAAAATGACAGTTTGGGTAGTTCTAAGCTCTCCTCAATACCTGTGGCTAACATGCACTCTACTCTTCTAGGCTGGGTTTTCTGTTTTGTTTTCAGAGCCTCACAGTGTGAGATTAAGTGTACCTTCCCCACCCACAATGCTCTCTCTCCCTTCTACTCAGCAGTACTGTGGAGTCTTTCCCTTCTGCTCCCTTTTCCCCATCCCCCTGCGTGCCCCAGGAGGGGCGGGCCTCCAGTGGCCTCTGCTTGCCTGGCTTTCTTCCCGCTCCCATGCCCCGCCCTCCTCAACATTTCCTGGCTCCCCTTTGCCTGTGAATAAAGGCTTCCACCTGGTGACTGAAGGGCCTCTCCTCCCCTGGCAGACTGTCTTCTGCCTTTTCGATGTCACTTCCCATTTCATCACTGACACAGCCCTTGTTATCATCCTCTGCTGCTCCGTCAACCCCCACATGTGCCCCGCCCCTGTGGCCTTGCCCTCGTTGTTCCTGGGAAAGCTGGCCTGTCTCCCCCACCCCGATTCATTAGAACTTGTGAAATCCTAACCATCCTCACTGCCCATCTTCAGTTAGAATCAACCATTCATTCCTCTTTGTTTTATTAATAGTTTGCCTGAACCTCTTTTTTTTGTAGTAAAATATACATGACATAAAATTAACATTTTAACCAATTTGAACCTCTTTTAAAGCAGTAACTTTTGCTCTGCGTTGTACCTCAACTAGTTTTAGAGAAATATTTCTCTTTTTTAAAATATGTTTTTACTAATTTCAGAGAGGAAGGGAGAGGGAGAGAGAGATAGAAACATCAATGATGAAAGAGAATCACTGATTGGCTGCCTCCTGCATGCCCCCTACTGGGGATCGAGCCCACAACCCAGGCATGTGCCCTTGACTGGAATCGAACCTGGGACCCTTCAGTCTGCAGGCCAACGCTCTATCCACTGAGCCAAACCATCTAGGACGAGAAGTATTTCTTAAAGACAAGGCTGGATCCTGGCGAGGTGGCTTAGTTGGTTGGAGTATCATCCTGTACACCAAAAGGTTGTGGGTTCGATTTCTGGTCCAGTCAGGTCACATACCTAGGTTGTGGGTTATATCCCCGGTTGGGGTGTGTATGGGAGGCAACAGATTGATGTTTCTCTCTCTTTCTCTCCTTTCTCCCTCTCTGCCCCTCCTTCTCCTTCTCTAAACATATCTTTGGATGAGGATTAAAACACACACACACACACACACACACACACACACACACACACACACAGAACTAGGTCTTATTTCCAATCACCACCACGTCTTGTACAGTATCTGAAATGTGTCAGGCATTCATCAGGTTTATTTGTGTGGAACGGGGAGTTATTAGTTTTGCAAGATTAAAAAGTTCTAGAGATGGATGGTGGTGATGGTTGCACAATAGTGTGAATGTACTTACACTATTGAACTGCACACTTAAAGATGGTTAAAGTGGTAATTGTTATGGTATGTGTATTTTACCATAATTTTTAAAAAAAAGTATCCCACTGAGGTCTGGGTTAGAGTTATTAGAAGGCTCTGTGAATGAGTAAAAAATTCCGCCTTTGGTTTTAATCTAAGTTTTGATTTCTTTTCACAGTGCAGCCTTCATATTCACGCTTCCTACAGCATCTCCCAAAAACTAAACGTTCCAATGGCCCCCCTCTCAGAGCCAAATGCCGTGGGCATAGTCATCGCACATGGTAAGGAGCCTCCCCTCCCCTCCCCTCCTCGGGAAGAAGTAGCTGAGCACACTGACACTCAGACTTCATTCCCCTATAAGAAAACCACCGAACATGGCTTTTACCATCCTCTGGAGGATTTCTTGCATGATAATGGTACTTAGGGTTATTTCACAGACTCCCATCAGAGAGAGTAACATGACTTTCCCCTTTCCCAAATTTTCAGTGGCCTTTTTTCTATCACAAGAGGCATGATGGGAAGTAATCAGAAGAAATTTACTCAAAATTAGCCTCTTGGCAGTAAGTCCTGTCTGTTCATTGCTGCTCTGTGCTGAGGAGACGATGGATTGTGTTGCAGGTAGCGTGGGAGATGCCATCTCAGTCATGATCCCGGACGTGTACATCTCAGATGATGGGGGTTACTCCTGGGCGAAGATGCTGGAAGGACCCCACTTCTACACCATCCTGGATTCCGGAGGCATCATCGTGGCCATTGAGCACAGCAGCCGTCCTATCAATGTGATTAAGTATGCATGAGCTCTGCTCCACCCACACTTTCTGCATGAAGGGCAACTGTGGGAAGTATTCCAGTTCACTGGGGGGAAGTTGCGGGCCCTGATTTAAATTTGTGCATTCTGCAGAACTGTAGGGAAGGTTTTTAAAGGGATTGCATTTAGAGCAATTCAGATTAAATGGCCTGCTTTTTCCTCTGACTTCCTCAAGTTAACACTTTTTGCCACTTCTTTCTCTCCACAAGATTATTGTGGAAGTGTCTGAACATTCTGGATGGGGAATGACTCCTTAAGTAAAGGCTCATAATAGATCATTTCTGTTTGTTGATTTGGAAGCCCATTCTTACATGGGTCACTACTTTCTCTTTCCTTGGAAGGAAATTTTGTAAAGGCATTTTCTTCCATACGCTCTGAATGAATCCCTTTTCTTACCCTGTTAACTAAGCTATCACCTAAACATGAGGGTTCTTCTCTGATTTGGACCTAACAGCAGAGTGGTTTCCTGATAGTCCCATACATATTGATCCTCTGTTGTGATCTTTCTCTGATTGGGGTTTCAGGTTCTCCACAGACGAAGGTCAGTGCTGGCAAACCTATACGTTCACCAGGGAGCCCATCTACTTTACCGGCCTGGCTTCGGAACCTGGGGCAAGGTCCATGAATATCAGCATCTGGGGTTTCACTGAAACTTTCCTGACACGTCAGTGGGTCTCCTACACCATCGATTTTAAAGATGTCCTTAAAAGGAACTGTGAGTGTCTTCTTTGACCTTTCCTACCAAAAACTTGTAAGCCCATTTTTCTAAATAGCCAATTCAGTTTAATTTCTTTTCACTGGAAGAAGAAAATGCATAAAGTTTAACGTCATGAAAAGATTTGTTAAGCACCTGCTTTTTAACAGGCTCTGTGCTGGTCTTCATATCCCAAAGGATAAAAACCTGATCCATAGGTTTTTAGACCATAGCCTTTGAGTCCTTTTTCCAAGAGTGGATGATGTGACAGGTTAACTCTCATCAACAGTCTTCATTTGACATCCAGTCGACTACAGTTCAAAGTCTAGAGACAGAATGTTTTCCCTTCTGTTTGAAGCAAACGAACCCATAGTGAAACTGAACCTATGCTTTTGGCTCATTGGCATCTTGTCCTAAAGGAAAGCATCTGGTTGCTCCTGTTGACCGAGGGCATCAGTGACAAGACATCTAGCCAGCAGCCTCTCAGTTTGTAAGGAACCCTAGAGATCCTCGATCCAGCTTCCCACTTCGAAACAAATAAGGGTTTTCCTAATACTCAAATGAGTGGTGAAATGCAAATATCGCTCCTTTGGTATGAGGAAATGCCCACTGCTAGTAGGCTTCAACTAATGTAACGTGGCTTCACAATTCCAAAATGAAGCGATGGGTTGAGTGAGACATCTCCACTCTTCTCTCCTTGTTCTTCCTGTCGCCTGGCAGCTGCCTCATGTAGGTGAGCGCTGTGCCAGGCAGTTTCCCGAACAACCTGTCTTTCCTTTAGGTGAAGAGAACGACTATGTGATATGGCTGGCTCACTCCACAGACCCTGGAGATTATGGAGATGGCTGCATTTTAGGCTATAAAGAGCAGTTCCTACGGCTGCGCAAGTCGTCCGTCTGTCAGAATGGCCGGGACTATGCCGTGACCAAGCAGCCGTCCGTCTGTCTCTGCTCCCTGGAGGACTTCCTCTGGTACCAGCATCCCTCAGCCCCTTTCCTGTGCTAGGGGAAGTGGAACACAGTTGTCTTACAGGATTGAACAATATTTCAATCCTTTTCTTTCCCTCCTTCCCCAAGAGCAGAGAACTGCTGCTGCTTATTAAGGAAATTGAGGCACAGAGAAAGGGAACCAAAGTCATTAATAATTGGACAGATAATATTATCATATTGAACAGTTAATTATTGGGCAGAGCCAGCAGCAACCCCCAGAAATCCTGACTTGGCAATGATAGTAAGGAGGGAGGTATGTAAGGAGGAAGAGATTAAAAAATAGAGAAGGTGATGAGGTACAAACACCAAGGAAAGTGGCACAGGAGCTAAGAGGACATTGGACTTTAGCAGAGAGCCCGCCGGCCTGAGTTCAGCAGGTGGCACTTAGGTTTTGGGTCATCAGCAGGACTGAAGGCAGAAAGAGTGCTTCTGTCCCGAGACACTAGGTGACAGCAGTATACTTATGGTCCCTGTGTCCCATCAAGGTTTAGAAGCCACCAAGGTGAACTCCCAGACTCAGGACCCTCCAGGCTTAAGGATCAGTGATGTGGTTGGCATGGGGTTAGTGATGATACAAGGGCGAGGGAGTCCCTAGGTAGTCTAAGCAAGATAACTTAAGGCAAATAAGAGGGACTGATTCACCTCACAGGTAGTCATCTTATGGAACTTGTCATATTCCCTCAAACCACAGGTGACAGAATACGGGACCAAGCAAACCCAAATCTGACCCTGGGGGGTCCTCCTGTGTGGCTCATATCTGTCTGTGGAATGGCCAGAGGTCCTCCTCTCCCTGTTTCCACAGGGGAAGTGTCACTCACATCACTTGTTTTGTTACAGTAGGGCTAGAGATCCTTGAAACTCCAAGGGCTGTCCCCGTCCCTGACTGCACACGGGCTGGCTCTTCATTACTGAGCTGGTTTCCGACATGCTGTGCTTCTCCAGAGCTCCGAGCCATTGGACACGCTGCTCCACAGCCTGCAAAGTCTCCCACGTCCCTGCCTGACCCCACGCCTGGTGGATTCCTTTAGTGCTTAGTTCAGATAGCACCTCTTTAAAGCCTTCCAGTTTTCCCTCATCTAGGCTCCCACAGAACCCCTGTCACAGCTCTTACTGTGTTTTAATCATTGTGTATAGGTTTGCCTCCAGCACCAAACTCTAGGCTCCTGGAGGGCATATTATATTTGATCATCGTGTAGCTGTAATGACAGCAGTTGCATTTTTTGAGCACTGACTGGACTGGCACTGTCCTGAGCAATTTACATTTAATCTCAGCAGCCTGTGAGAGGGCATTGTTGTCCTTTCCCTTTCACAGAGGGAAGAAGTAACAGAAAGTACAGAGAGATTAGGACTGACTTGCCCACAGTCGCTCATCCGGGCAGTGGCAGAGCTGGGACATGAACCTGCAGTGGAGACCCGAAGCCCACGCTGTGCCACACGTGCTGGGGAAATGTGCACGTGTGAGTGGGAAGGGTACTCTCCCTGAAATCTTGAATACCTAAAAACTTTCCCAGAGGTTTTCCCCTGCTCTTGGAGGAGTGGTGTCCTCAACATCCTTTGTTCTCCCTACCCTCTCCCCGAAATATTTGTCAGAAAAATCTTGAAGTACTAGCAGCAGCTTTATATTCCCCAAATATTCACTAGATACTTGCTGTGCAAGGGCAGTGCAAACTGGAAATAGAAGGTTTGTTGCGAACTCTCTGGGTAAGATGCACATAATCATGTTGTGAAACAGAAGGTGGCAAATGCCCCAGGGATTTAGGGAGAGATGACACTATTACAGCTAGCGCCGAAGGAGGTGGGTCAGAGGCTTTGCTGAGGAGGTGGCATTTGAGCTGAGCCCTGACAAGTGGTAGGATTTGACCCTGTGCATCTGGGAAGAAGCAGGTCATTAGAGCCTGACGGGTGAGTGATCAGGAAGGGTGTGCTGGAAGATACGTCATGAGGGGAAGCCACAGTAGTGACGATAAAAAAGTGACTAGGGTCCAGATGGGGGACGGAAGGTAGTGTCATGGACAAACCTAAGGAAATGATAGGCAAGGCTGGTGTGAAGGAGAAAACAGAGAAAGGGGTGTATTTGGAACATTTTCTTTATTTGCGGTTCTTCTGGCAGATAATTTATTTGGTGAATGTCCAGCAGGTATTTGGAACTGGAGGTTTAGAGCTCAAGAGAGGTAAAACCTGGAAGCTTTTGTTGCAACAAATAGTTAAGCTCACAAAGGGAGAGCAGATACAAAATAAGAGAATGAGTTATAGAACCCTGTAAGACACCTGTATTTATGGGTTAGGAAGAGAGAAGCCACCAGATGAGTGGGACTGATGGTGCCTCCCACACTGTCAGTGAAGCTAGGCCCCAGGGCAGTGGGAAGGATGGGCCAAGGGTGCTCACACAGGGGTCAGCTCGGAGAGGAGGCAGTGTTATTTATTTGGGGAAAACAGAAAGGAGAGCAGATGGGGGGTGCTATGGAGAGTTGGCATAGAATGGAGGGCAGGACAGGGCATTCATATTGGCAGTAAGGACCATCTAAGAAGCTAAGAGGGTCGGAAGTGGAGAAGGCAGAAAAGGTTTGCAAATATCCCATAGTATACCTCCAAATAACATAATAAGGAGTTATTTGGAGGTAAATAAAAGAATTGCTAAGTTTAGTTCTGTGGCTGTTGCCACTATTTCTCTGTCTTAGTTGCATGAGTCCCCAACCCATGCAGGTTGCAGGCCTTCCCTTCCCAGAGCCTGAGCGATCTGTGCAGGACTCCCAGCCTCAGTGCTCCCAGCTACTAGTCCTAAGTCCACCAGGCCTTCCCCTCATGTCCTATCTTCCAGCACACCCTTCCTGATCACTCACCCGATCCATAACTGTTTTCCCCAATGAAGCCCTCTCCATGTGTTTTTCTAAATGGACCTTCTTTATAGATGCCACAGGCCTTCCTGAGCTACTTTCTGGCAACCCAAGACTGGAATATTAACCATCCACTGACCCACAAAAACCTTCATTGCTAGTCAGTTACTGTCTTTCAGCAAATTTAAAAGATACTTTATTTGTGGACTCTTGCAGTGATTTTGGCTACTTCCGTCCAGAAAATGACTCCAAGTGTGTGGAACAGCCAGAGCTGAAGGGCCACGACCTGGAGTTTTGTCTGTATGGCAGAGAGGAGCACCTGACCACAAATGGGTGAGACGGCGTCTCCTCTGTGACAAATGAGTTCCCTTGTTCAGAGCGAAAAGCTGCTTTTCTCCACACAGAGATCTGTGCAGGGCTTAGGGTGCTCTAGGAGACACTGTCCAATAGAACTTTCTGGGATGATGGAAATGTCCTGTCATCTCCTGTGTCTGGTACAGTAGCCACCAGCCCTGTGGCTACTGGCACTCGTGTGACTAAGGACTGAATTAATTTCTGTTAATTTAGACAGAGCCTCATTGGCTCCCTCCCCCTCCCATTTTCGAATGGGGTGTTAACGTGCTCTCCTGGATCACAGACCTTTGGCACAGTCTCTTAAGGCAGAAAGGCAGGCATGTCCCTGCAGCCAAGCCTGAAAATACACAAAATATCCCCAAGACATCCCTGTGGATCTCCCCGCAGGCCTGAAAGATGGTGAAAGGATGAGGAGCTTTTCAGATCTTGTTTTTAGGAAATAGGCAAGAATTTAGTAATGTATCCTTGTATTCTGTTAACAAATTTTCTCTGCCTTTCAGATACCGGAAAATTCCAGGAGACAAATGCCAAGGTGGAGTGAATCCAGTTCGAGAGGTAAAAGACTTGAAAAAGAAATGCACAAGCAACTTTTTGAGTCCAGAAAAGCAGGTATGTCAAAGTAGATGTGGATTAGGTACCAGTGGGGTTTCATGATCTGTCAGGCTTCCCTTTGCACAGGAAACTGTCAGGGTGAAGGATGGGTCATATAACCCAATAAGCTCATCTACTGACGTTTTTTGTTGGGGAAAAAATAGTACTGTATTTCATAAAGTGGTTCCAAGTTTTAGAAGCATAGAGTTGAGGACATTCTGAGGCTCAGGGTCCTTTGGGAAAAAGACTCAAGAAGTTTGGCTGTAAAGGGCTGGACTTTGCACGTGTGAAAGAGAAGAGCACTGGCCATAGGTAGGGTGGATCTCTGTGCCAAGTCATGCCAGGTATGCTCACAATGAAAAACTGAACAGTGGTAATAATGGGCTGGTTTTGATATAGAAGCAGATTACGGGGCTGACTACAGATCTATGATACTGAACTATCTGCTGGAATTGGGGGGGTTGGGTAAAGAAGAAACCCCGATAAAGAAACACTACACCAGCAGTGTGACTTGGGGCAGTAAACTGCGGGTCCCAGTTTCCTAATCTATAAAATGAGAGAGGGACAACCTGCAGTCCCCTCTTCTCTAACTTCTGAGGGATGAGGGCCTGACAAGGGGCAGGGTGAAGAAGGCAGTGGAAGAAGAATGTGTGGGTGTGTGTACTTGTCAAGGGGCAGGGTTCTCCTCTGCGCCCCACCCTGCACTCCTGGTGGCTGTCCTCAGAGTGTTTGTGGGTGTGATTGCACAGGACTCCCGCCCACAGGGACACAACCTGTCCCAGAATCCAGCTCAACCTCCTCTTGGATACAATGAAAACACACACTCCCTATTTCCCCACCCAGAAGCAAGCAGGTCACAATGATATGAGAAGGCTTATTTGTAAAAAAAAATACCAAAAATTAAATAAAAAAAAGATAAATCTTGGTGTTGTGTGATACTGCATTTGCACAACTTCTTTCCAGCTGATGGCCCTGTTCTAGACTCGTTCAGCCCACTGTTATCGTCATCTCCCTTTCTGGCTCCACCCTTAAAAGCTCTAAGACTTATAAACAGTGATAGTAGGAAACAGTCACATTACCATTTGATCTAGGAAGTTGCCAAGGCTTCCAGTGTAACTCTGACACTGACACCACTGAGACTGCACCATTCTGACAGCTTCAAGGTAGTCGAAGTTCTGGTGACCCTCTGCCAGGTGTGATTCTCCTGGTTCATCCTCCTGAGATGGTTCACGTGGGGGGTTGAAAGAGTAGCATCATGAAGTGCCTAAAGACTGTAGATCACTCAGGGAAATGAGGGGAATCAGCAGCATCTTTGAATTCAGTCCTAGAATATTCATGCCTGAATTTTTTTTGTGTGTGTTTTCATTTATCAAGAATTCCAAGTCAAATTCTGTTCCAATTATCCTGGCCACCGTGGGATTGATGCTAGTCACAGTTGTAGCAGGAGTGCTCATTGTGAAGAAATACGTCTGTGGGGGAAGGTAAGGAACATGGAAGTCAATCAAAGGTACTGCAGTCAAACCAGAAGTCAGCCAAGGGCACATGGTTGAGTCTGCCCTTAGCAAAAGAAGTGACATTCTGAAACGTCAGGCCCAAGTCTTCTCAGATCTTATATTTTCCGTAAGCCAACTATGGGTCTGCTTCCTGTATGTGTGACTCCTTCTCTGAATGTATAAAACTCGGAAAAGCTGGTGCTATAATAAACACACCCTCCTCAGCACATTGGGATTCATGAAGGGTTGTATTCGCAGGTTCCTGGTGCATCGGTACTCCGTGCTGCAGCAGCATGCAGAGGCTAATGGTGTGGACGGTGTGGATGCTTTGGACACAGCCTCCCACACCAATAAAAGTGGTTATCATGATGACTCAGATGAGGTGAGCCATTTCTTCTTGAGGGTGATCCAGAAGTACAAAAAAGGAGTGATTCTTTTCCTGTGCATGATCAAGATGTGATTGAGACAAATGAGGGTATAAGCTAGAAGCAGAAACTTAATGACTATGACTCGGTCAGCCAGAAACGAGGTAATTGTTTTCAAAATAGGAATTTTTTAGTCTGTTAAATAATATAATTTATGTCTTTCAGGACCTCCTGGAATAGCTCTTCAAAGGAGCTGGGACCGCACATGGATGATGGAAACACAGTACCTCTTACACTCCCTGTGGCTCCGACTTGGGGAAATAAATTTCCCATTGCGAGGGACCCAGCTCTGTTTCTGCTGCTTCCGTCAAAGCCAGAAGGACCTCTACTAAAGACATGCAGGGGGTGGTGGGGGCAAAACCCTAAACACTCACAATTGGCTCTGAGAAGAGGGGGAGACATTTTTAAATCTTTAACCTCTTATTTCAAGTTGTCTTTTTGCAAAGTATGGGCTCTTTGGGGTTTGTTTTTGTTTTTTACGGGAAATGAAATGGAATTTGAAGGGAACATTTCACTAACTGTACTCCTGCATGTTTTGCATGGCGCCTGCCCCAGGGCACCTGCCAACTCCAGCATCAACCCTCACAAGTAGCCGGTGCGGTCCCTAGGCTCTGCTGGTGACACAAAGCAGCTGCAGAGATGAACACGGAGGCGCTGGTGACTGGCATGACTGGGCAGCCTTTCTGCCTCTGGGGACAGCCCTCCTCCGAGAATGTTGCACACCCGATCCTCCTTTTTTATTTTTTCCAGGGACCAGAGATCAGTGATTTTCCTTTTTCCTGCTTAATTAGGCAATACCCTTGTTAATTGCCCTTTGGTGACTAACTTAACCATGTGCTTCCAAGACACTAAATCAGGAGAACTTAAAGGGCAATATTTTTAACTAGGGGCAGGAAGAAGGGCGCAGCAGAGAACTGACTAGATAGAGCACTATGAAAGGAGAAATTCTTCCTTTGAGATCTTTCAAGCCATGCTGTGTGTGTGCCTGCAGACCTGCTCAAGGACAGGGCGCAGGGCTTGCCCGGGGTGTCTGCCCAGGCGGTGCAGCCCCTGCGGACGGAACATGGGCTTCCTCGTGCCCTGCTGCCTGCTGTGTTGGCTCAGTGGTGAATCATTCAATTGGCTGCTTATATGTTTCCTCTTAGGTGGCTTGTTGTACGTGGAGCCAGGACTAGACATGTTTTCAGATTTATAGGCTTTATTTTTAAAATCAGAATTTTATTGCCAGCTCTCTTCCTTGCCCCTTCTCCCCAGCTTTGCCAAGTAATTTATTGGCATGAACCTTTTGGCTGAACCAACTGAAAACGCTTCCAGTGTAAGATGAGGTTTTGTGTGATACATTAAGTTCATATTTTAAATTTAAGGGAGTTTTCCATTTGACATTTATTTCAAATTCAATCAATTATAGAATGTAATGAGATGGATTTTTGGGTGGCCATCTAGTCATGGAAAGCTGCAATAATTAATTTTAATACGGCTTGAATATTTGCTATACAGGAATATAGTATAGTATGCTTGTGGTCTTGGCGTACCTGCTGTGCTGGTCACGGTTTCTCCCAATAAGTATGATTGGGACATTCTCTGGTAACTGCCATTTTGCTGCTAGTTCATTTTATGGCCAGAAAGCCCATAAAAAGTAAATGTGCCAAATTAACTTTTGTCAGAATGTGTGAGCAGATGGCTAAAGTTCTCTCCTCACCAGAATGGAATAACAGCAGCAGGGAAAGTGGGGGAGGGAGTGGACAGAGAATTATAGAGACTTGGAAACTGCATAAAATTAAATGAGTCAGTGAGCTTCAGTTAGAAAATAATGTTAGGGAGAGCAGTTTTTGTGAAGAAAATTAGTATTTGTTAGAGCCAGAGAGCACTCATCTTTTAGGAAAAGCTCATTCATTTTGCAGGATTTTAAATAAAAAATAATTCCAAAGATAAACCAGTTCACAAAGGATAGAGTGTCAGCCTTTGTCCCAGACATCCTCACCTCCTGCCCAAAGTGAATTTTTTAACGTGTTTTTTTTTTAATTGATTGCAGAGAGAGGAAGGGAGATGGAGAGACGGATGGAAACATCAATATGAAAGAATAATTGATCAGCTGCCTCCTGCATGCCCCTTACTGAGGATCAAGCCCACAACCTCGGCATGTGCTCTGACCAGGAATCAAACTCTGACCTCCTGGATCACGGGGCGATGCTCAACCACTGAGCTGGGCCTGCCCAAAGTGAATTTGATGTTCAGAAAAGATCTATTTCACCTACACCTTTTCCCCTAGCATATACTCACGGGGGTAGACGTGCTGAGATATGGTGATTCGCTAATCAGCTTTAATTTATAGGAAAGTTAATATTCTTCTCTAAGCATATAAGAGTAGGGCTCTTTGCTTATAATGATACCTGGGATTTCTGTAGAAATTAGTAGTTTTCAGAGCAGCTTCACTTGCAATATGTCATTTGAACCTCAACATTCTTGTGAGATAAAGAAAAGATAGGGTTGTATTTCCCATTTTTAGGAGATAGAGCTGAGGTACAAAAATGGAGTAAATTGTCCAGGGCCCCTGTATATCACGAGCAGTGTGGGCTGGAACATGAACTCTGGAACATTTTGTGTGCAGGTGCTGCCTCCCTGAACAGGCTCCTTCCTTGCAGACTGGCTGTTCTGTGGGGCAGGAATCAGTGGCATTTCTTTCAGAGCAGTGTTTAGTGCCCTTTTGCCACCTTGATAAAAATTCTATTCTCCTGTTTTTCCTGGCTAAAAACAATGATAGTTTTGATAGTATGTTTAGAAACTGCTTCTCACCTCATTAAGGGTCACTGTTCAAGAGTGCAAGAATGAACTCTCCACTGAGAGTCACTTTTCCATTCTCCTCATTTCCCATCCCTGGCTGACTAGCTGGCTCAGTTGGTTTGAGGACTGCTAACAAGCCTGGTATATTCCCATTATCAGCTAGTTAGTGTTCTACATCAGCCTGCTCACTCACAAGTATATGTCCTCAGCCAATGAACAAAACAGCCTAAATCCATGATTGCATCTAAGAAAAAAGATCTCTAATTTGTCCTACTGATGTTGGGTTAGGAGCCTTATCTTTGAAAGTAAAGTATAGCATATCATTGTAGAAAGTTCCGGGCTTGATTATAGCATAAGAGATTATTATTTCTAGTGGCTTCAGCAATAAAATTTATCATCATAAGAGAGATTGGACATATCAGACCATCCGAAGTGGGTCTGAGCTCTTAAATGCAGGTGGAGAACTTGCCATCTTTTCTGCTCTGTGGACAGGTATCTTAGACCTGAGGGGGCTTTTGGTTTTCAGTGAGACAAGAGACCAGGGATGCATACACCTAGGCTGTCATTTGGATGGAAATACATGTAGAAGAATAAAGTGTTTAGAGTGTGTGGCTGTTCTAGGTTGGGCTCGGGAGATTCAATAGGTTAGTTATCACATAGAACCTGCCAGGTCTGCCTCTGGGCCTCTGCATGCCCAAGCTGGCTTCTCACCCCTGACAGACTAGTAATTCGCTGGCCACCTCCAGCTCCTGCTGGTTCTCCCAAGGCCTTTGTCATGAAACCAGGGATACAGAGAGGAGTGTTGGCTTGTCCAGACCCACCCCAGGTGGCAGGGCACCTGCCACCCCAGTTCTTTATTTTCCAGGCAAATCATCCAGGTAGAGATTCTCTCTTCCCTTTTAGGAGGGCTCTAAGAGCCCTGCCCCTGTGTGCATGGGCTCAGAGCTTATCCTGCTAATTGTCGGTACAGCCCCCTCGCCCCACTTGAAGCCTGGAGACTTGGAACTGCTCAAATAGGAAGAGATTCAGCTTTCAACTTTGCTACTACCTTCTCTCAAGCAGGAAAATAAGCATGGACTAAATGTCCTTTGAACAAAACCAAAGTTTCAGATTTGCCACATGATGGAGTGATGGGAGGGGCCAGACTTTCAGCCCTGGCACTCAGCAGGTGCCAGGCTTTCTGTCCCATCTGCCACCGTTTGCCCAGCTCAGGTGGCTCTGGGAGCACCATCCTGCCCAGCAGAGCCCAGGCCTTACCCTCATGGAGGGTGATTGAAATCGCAGCAGCATGTTGATTTCCTGGTTACATCACATTATAACAAGAATCGGAACATGAATTTGAAATTGTCTTCAACTTGCTGTATGCATTTTTTCACACCAGTGCATTCTTAAGCGTTCTTGTTTATAGAAAATAACAAACTAATCTGTACCTTTATATATATGTACATATATACATGTATAAACTGTATAGTGTACATGCTAATGATTTATTGATGTGTCCCAGATCTCTACTGCAGTTCTCTTCCGCATGCCCTCCATTTGTGGTCAGGTGACTGAATGTTCCCTGATAGTCTGCCCACCTCCTGTGTTTGGACATCTAGGGAAGAGGGTTTAGTCGTACCCTCCTCTTCATCCTCGTGCACAGAAATGCTCAGGGTCCCCATGTGCCTGTTGTTCAACCCCCTCTTGTCTCTTGCTCCCTTTCTGAGCATGTGGTCCCTCTTGTTCTGTATCTTTGCCTCTTCCCCAAACTAGGGGACAGCTGCCTTCCTACTAAAGTGTAAAGCAGTTATTAAGATCATTACTGCATGTGCGCTAAAAAACAAACCAGTCTTCTGTTCCCTTGGAACAGAAAATTGCATGTGAGGTGGGATAATCAAGTCTCAACAACCCATGTCATTTACACAACAAAGCCAGACCCCATAATAAAATTCCAGAAAATGGAAACAAAACTCAACTTTCTTTAGCATTGTGTAAATAAATTTGGATGTGTTTAACTTTGTACTGGTAATTTTCTGTATATTTGCAATATTTGGGTTAGAAATAAAACAGACTGGGACTTTGTTACCTGACCTACTGAAATGACTAAACTACAATTTGTTACTGTGATAGCTTTTCCAGTTTCTAGCTTCAGCAGTCAAACCAAACCAGCACACACGCCAATTAAAGTGCCAGGACTGTGCATTTATAGCATGAAAGGTATTAAGATAATTTATGGGGGAAACTACTTACTTTTTTTCTTCCTCTTTATGCTCATAAAGATCTACTTCCCATGGGTATTTGTAGGACCAGCTTTCTTGTTCTTTCCCCCAGAAAGTCTAACTGACCCACGCTGCACACCTTCTCAGGTTTCAACTGCTTTACTTTTCCTCTGGACACAGCAACATACAATTACTCTCCTGAATTATATGTTCCTTATAGCAGGTTTGACAAATAACAACACTGAAGTTTAACTTTGGTATCTTTCCATTTGCTGCTCTTATTCATAGTCCTTCCTGATCCATTTCATTTAAGGCCTTTCAAAGAGTTGCCCCTTTTCTTCTCATCCAAAATATTTCTTTTAGGAGAGGTTCATGCTGACCCCGCCCCCCTTGAACCTGATAAACAGGTTCCTGCACCCCAAAGTGTGTGTACAGTGTGTCCTGGTCCTGAGCCCCTATATAAGTCACAAAGAGGGCTTCTGTCCCACATCCCAAGACTAACACAGACTATTGGGATCCTATTGACTCTGCCCCCAAATTGAGAGCTAAAAGGTAACCATGAGTAAGGAGCCTATTCATTCAACCACACTCACTTTTCCTTAAAAAAATAAGGGCCTAGTGGGGAGGGGTATATGGGAACTCCATATTTCCATTCAACTTTGCTGTGAACCTAAACCTGCTCTAAAAATAAAGTCTATATAGAAATAGAGATGTATATACCGAGGGGATACACAGTCTGGCTTCTGGGGATAAAGAGCACAACAGGAAACCAGATCATTTGGATGGAGTACGCACATGTAGAATGATGGTTTGGTAAACTGGAAATCATATAGGACCTTCAGTATGTAACTTGACACCTACTGTGGGTTGGCCACTTCCCTACATTTTTATCACTTTATCCTCAACTCAACCCTAGCCTCATTATCCTTGTTTCACAGACCAAAGACCTGTGGTTCAGAGGCAGTGATTGGCTCAGAGTCACCTAGCTAATGAGTGAGCGGTATAGCCAAAAGTCACACTCAAGTCTTCTGACCTTATGCCCCTGGCTCTCCTCCTCCTCCTGCTGCCTCTCACTTTCTTTGTACTTTATCTCCTAGGCCAGGGAGCTTTCAAAGGGGCAAGTGCCCTGACCTAAAAATAGCTCACATTTATCGAGCACTTAGTCAGCTATACTCTGCTAAGCACTTTACACAGATTGCCTCTCTTAATCCTCACAGCAACCCTATGGTTACTATCATCTCTATTTTTCAGATGAGAAAACACAACTAAGACAGACTGTGATGTGTCGCAAGTCACACAACTAGTTGGTGATGGGCCAACATGAGCCCTGGTAGTCTGGCTCCAGAGTGCAGACTACCTTCCACTGTTACTAGGGAGAGGGGGAGAGAATGGGGACATACCCTTGAAGGTCAAGTTGACAAGCCCTGGCCTGTGTTGCTAAATGGTTAGAGCCTTGACCCGTGCCCCTGAAGGCACACTGAAGGGTGGTAGGTTCAATTCCTGGTCAAGGACACACACCTGGGTTGGAGGTTCGAGCCCCCACCCCTGTTGGGGCATGTGTGGGAGGCAACCAATAGATGTGTCTCTCCACATCAATGTTTTTGTCTCCCTCCCTCCCCACTTCCACTCTCTCTAAAAATCAATGGAAAAAATATCTTCAGGAGAGTATCAACAACAAAAAAAGGTCAAGTTAAAAATTTACAGCTCATTGAATATGGGAGTAGAGAGAAAGAGCAGTTAAAGGTGTGCCTGTCACTCAGCTAATTCTGGGGTCCCTTTCTTTGGACCTGAACACCATGTCGGATGAGCTGGAGGTCAGAAGTCAAGATGTCACCCAACCCCACAGGAGCCAGAGGCCCTGTCTGGATGGTCTTTGCGTGGGGGAGAAGGGGGAGCTATTTGAAGCTCAAGCTCTCTCCTCCCTCCCTGGTGCTGCGTGAGGGGTGTCATCTCACTCCTAAGATAACAGGGCCACCTCGGCCCTCCGCCTGTGGCTATTCTGGGCTGCTGTCTGATCCCCCTTTCTTGCCCCAGCCCTGCTTCAGCCCTTCTTCTGGGAGTAGCGGGGTGGGGAGAAGCCAGCCCAATTACATAACCCCATGGCAGGGACCCCTGGAGAGGCTGAAGAGCAGGTGCTCAGCCCCTCCCTCAGCACCAACAGTGAAAATCTGCCGCTGGAGCCCAGCCTTGGGTGGCCCAGCATGGAGGCAGTCACGGCACCGGAGGTGGCCTCAGGACCCACGCTGAAGGTGAAAGAAGCCAGCCCAGCAGATGCGGAAGAATCCCAGACTTCACCTCGACAGGGGGCCAGCAGCCCTATTCCTCAGCTCCTGGCCCCTCTAGAAGGTGACCGTGGGGTTAGGGAGGGTGGTGGGAGATGGGAGGATATTCAGACTCCCTGATGGCACCGCCTTAGCTTTATGCAGAGCGGACGACTTCATGGGATGGGGACTGAGGACAGGGGAGCATTGGTTGGAGCCCCCCACCCCCTTCCTTGGTGGACTCTTTCTTGCTATTCCTGTATCTCTGCTGGGTGTTTGCTTTTTTAGCTGAGAATTCGGTAAATGGTGTTTGTGGCACTTAACAATGACTAATAATGTTTATACTTTTACCTTTAAAAAATATCTATCACAGGGACTAGGAGGACCTACTATACTAAAGCCAGTCAGAAAGGGAATGAGGGTGAGATCATGGCTGTCTAGATTAAAAGAGGGAAATGAAAAGCTATTGTGATTGGAAGACTAAGTAGTGAACAGTCCATGACACTCTGCCTCTCCCTGGGCAGTGCCATGAATCCAGGGCCTACCCCAACACCCCCACTAGCTCCCATGGGAAACCCCACCTCTCAGAATCTGAGCCCCATGGAAGCAGAGCCCTCCTGGGAGAAGCATGTGGCTTCTTCTCCATGGTGGTCTCCCTGAGCCTCTCGGCAAAGAGGCATTTTTGAGCTAGGAGGTGGTGGGTGCCCCTTCCAGTCCCTGGTTCCCACCCCCACTGCCGACAGCTCCGAGCTGCTCACCTGAGCCTAGCTGAGCTGACCAGAGGTGGAAAGAGAAATAGAGAACTAATTTCTTAAAAGCTTTGGTTCAGGAGTGATTTTTATCAATTTTACTCAGAGATCATGATACTGTGGAAGAGATCATGTAAATCTGGGTGGGCAATTGGCCATCTCTGTCATAGAGGTGGGGATGAGAGAATGGGATGCTATAATTCAGATTATAGAGGGGCTGCAGTTACAGATCTAGACAATGACCAAGGAACAAGGGTGAAGCAGGGGAGGACTAAATTCCTGGAGGAGTAGCAGGCATGGTGTAAGGCCCGGCAGAGGTTGGCAGGATGGCTGTGGAAATCACCAGGAATCATGACTGGAGCAGCGCTGGGGAGAAGGACAGTGAGCCAGGGCAAAAGGCACCAGCAGAGGGGAAGACTGCCGCAGGGAAGGGCAGTAAGTCTTCTCAGAGAAGTGTTGCCTATGTCTATGTCCTTTTATTTTTTTCTGACCTTAGTTTCATGGTCTTCAAGGAGAAGACATTCTTGTCCTTCACAAGGTGTTCCTGAGGTCACATATGCCTTTCCCATCACACTCCTCCAGACAGGTTTCTGATAAGTCCAAGGCCACATTCTCAGCATCTGCTAATGTTTCTCTAAGAAATGCTGGTACTTTTGGTATCTCTGGTTATGTTTCAAAGCCACAGTTCATCTTGTGCATTTGCCATGTTTTTGTAACCATTCACTGACGACACACACTCACATGCACACACACATGCACACCCCCCCCCCCTTCACTCTGCAAATGTGTCCATCTTGTTTCTTCCCTCTCCAGGCCATAATTCGTAACATCAATCTGGACTACACAGCCCTTAGGGAACTGCTGGAGAAAAAGTCTTTAACCATGTGAAAGGGAATTATGAGAGGATATGAACAAACTTTCCCATGAGCAAAGAATAAGGAAATGGGCATAAACTTCAGTGGAATGAAATTAGGGTGAACTAGGAGGAATTTTCTAATCAAGAAGAGTCAAGATTTTTGGACTTTAGGTGATCTTCACTACTAATTTCTAAGAAAGAATTAGATATTGTCCTGTCTGAGAGAAATACAGCACTAAGAGAGACACAGCTCAGAGCCAATGGCTCTCAAAGGACTTTCAAAATGCCTTTTCCCCAAAACTCTATAAAGGGAGGAAACCAAACGGTGGCTGTCTCACACCTGGTCTTAGAAAACCTCGCTTCTGTTTTCGGGCTCTAGTCCTTGGTTCACATCCCTCCTGGCATCTGAGGAGGAGAAAGCCATGTTTCCTCAAGGTCAGTACAATTCACACCTCACTGGGCTATGGAGGTGTGAAGAGAGCTGCCCCAAATAAGCCCCCCTATTAACATTCTCAGCAAAGGGTCAGATTGCTCTTGTTTGCAGGGCAGACAAGAAGGCCGGGTTGAGCTGGGGAAGTGCCTGCTGCTTGCTGCCCAGGCACCTGGAGCTGTCAAACACTCTTCTGCCACCTCCCACACTTTGTCAGCTGCTTTAGCCTCAAACCATCCTTTGCCCTCCAATGGGGACCTGGGAGCCTGCTGAAAGCCACATCCTCGCCTACTGAACCTCAGTTGGAGCAGTCTAGTAACTTCAGTTTGTCCCCTATCTACTCATCATTGTGTCAGGGAGTCTCACTTATAAACAAAGAACTTCACAGCAGACCTCTGGGGAGGAGAAGACCACCATCCTAGCTGACAGCCTCTCTTCTCTCTCTGCCCCTGTTGGGATCCCCTCTGGATCTCAGGGCCATTCTGCTCATCCTCCTCCTAATTCCCCTCCCTCTCTTAGCTTATGTGCTACATCAACCCATTTCTTTAACATTTCTCTGTAGTTCAGGTGAAACTATGCTAACCAATACTTAGCAAGGTATTTTTCTAAGAAACAAAAGGAACACCACGTGGAAACAGATACATGAGCACACACCCATCTACAGAAGCCTGTTTCCTCCCTGAAGTCTGAGCAGAGCAGAGCTCTGCAAGCACATCTTCTAGGCATGACAGCTTGGGCTTCTTTTCTCACCTCAACCTTTTCAATTCTTAAGGGTGTCCCTTATTTGCCACCTCCCTCCAGGGGCAAGATCACAGTAAGAGCCTTGGCTTTGGTGCCAAGTCTCAGGTGGATGCTGGAGGACAGAAGTGTGGACAGGTTTGCCATGCTCAGATGGGGAAGCAGGAGTCCCGGTCCAGCACAACTTCCCAACTAGACATGATACTCTCAGCAAAACTGTTTCCTTCTCCAAGCCCTTTCCTTCCAGTCTGCTCCTTGTGCTGGGTGCTCAGCTAGGCCCTTCATACCACAGACATTCTGGAGGCTCCCCTCCAGCCCTCTCCCCAGCAAGTGTGAAGGGTGACTTCCCCACCCAACAGTGGGGAACCAAGCCCAACAAGATGAGGTTTTGACCCTCCTTTTCAATTGCTGCCCTCTTTTTTCAGAAAACCCTTAAGTCATATCCGCCTGTTCTCAACGCCTTGGTGGCTTGCCAAGATGGCCCCAGGAGAGCAACACATCGCACAAACACTTCTTCTGTTCTTCATGCCCCGCCCCCTCCCAAAGTCAAAGTCAAACAGAGAGCAAGCAGAGCAGGGTCATTCAGCTGCCTGGGCTCTGAGGCTGTCCTATTCCTACTGAGGCTAGCAGACCCTGAGCGGCTCAGGGAGGACGGGCGCTCAGAGCACTGGAGGCCCTGAACCCCTTCATTCCTGCAGGAGTGAAGTGCAGTCTAAGACAGCACAACCCAAGTGAAAACATAAGGCACACAGCAGAAAAGGAAACTAGGTAAATAAAATGGACAGTGTGCACTGAATGTCTGTGGTTATGTTCACTTACAAAGGCCAGATGATCTTGAGATCGTAACTGTGGGAGTGAAATTGTTGGTCTCTAGACAACGATCTAAAAATTGAGGGGTAGAAAGAACAAAGCAGAACCACTATTTTATTTTAAATTTCATCATTCAAAATTTTGCAGTATATAATGTATATATATTTAAACAGTTCAATTTATAGGTAAATGTACATTGGGGTGAATGCTTAGGAATGTATTTACAGAGAAATGGATGTTATCAAAAATTTGGAATCCACTATCAAGCAACTGTGCTGGGGGTGGGGCGGGAGTGAATGTCCAACTGCTAGGAATGAATCGTTAGGGGAGGCTGGGAAGTTGGTGGGAACTGAGGCACGGTCACATCCCATTTAAGAGAACAGCAGCAGGGGCTATATGTGCCTGAGAAAGGAGGAGACAGGAGCCCCCAAAAGGCTGGAAAATGGTGTCTGTCTTAGCTGACACCAAGGGAACCCAGGTGGGATGTTTGCATTTTCTCAGTCAAGGCAGCCTGAGGCCAAGGAGAGAAATTATACCTGGGCCTTTTCCAAACCTCACACTCAGCACTTTCTGAGCATCTCCTGTCTTCATCCTGGAAGCCAATAAACATGATCTAATCTTTCTTCTCACTGGGAGGTCAAGGGTAAGTAAGCAGTGGATCTAGTATGTCCCAGATTCTGTTTGTACAAAGTGATCCTCCACAAACTGGAAGAACACTGTGCAGGCACTGAGCAGGGCAGCCATGCAGAGGAGGGCACCCAGACGCCAGCAACCTCTGCAATGACATCAGTGCTGTCTGAGTGGGTCTAGGGTGCTGGAAGGGAAAGCTTTCTCCTCGAGTCTGGCACCAAACTGGGGGACAGAGCTGACACTTGGAGGTCAGGATTAACATTGAAAGTGGCCTTGACAAAAGGAGTGTTGTTAAGGATAAATGTAGCAAACGGGTGGAAAGACAAACCACACAGACTGGACTTGTCTGTGCACAAACAGAAAAAAGAAATCTTAGTTGATGGAAAGTCAGGAGTTGCTGGTTATAAATTAACAGAAGCATCAGGTTCCCACTCCAGTGCTCTTGCTGCCAAGACTGACGCTCCCTAGAGGGTCCTTCAGCCAGTTGTTTGTCCCTACACCCCAGCAAGATGATAGGAGCAATCTTCCCATTCCCTACGAGAGAACTTAATTTGCTAAGCCTGGGTCACCTGCCCATGGAGCACAGCTGAAGGCAGTACCCACTCCCTCTGAGCACCACTCTTCCCACCATAGGAGGCTCACCACCCCCATTCTTTCCCTTGCCATCACTCAGAGCAACCTAAGATCTGGTTACCTCGGGCGCTGAGGCAGACCTACATCCGCAAGGTTGGAGACACTGTGAACCTACGAATTCCGTTCCAGGTGATCAGACCCCAGCCCCACACTGGGACCTTGGCTGGGTCCAGGACAAGGTTTGATTTGGAAACAGATACCAAGAGTCCTACTAGCAGTGGGGCAGTTGTCCTGGTCTTGAATGAAGGGAGCCATATCACCAGAAGTCAGGGCCAAATGGGCCTTTCATCTGCACTGCTGAGGGAGGCATGGGTTGGGCCCCATGTGATGAGGTGAGGCTAATCCGTGTCCCTTGGTCTGCAGAGGTCTGGGAGTCTCAGCTGGGAAGGCTCTCGGGAGTTTGGGCAGCTATTGTTAGTCCCAGCTGCCCTGCATGTCCGTGACCTAAACTCACAGAGGGTGGGAGACTCAAGGCCACCCCTTTTCCCATGATCCTTAGACTGTTGCTGAAAGACAGAAGTCTCCTGGGAGAGTCCACCAATCTCTAACTCAAGGAATTTGTAGCTGCAAATCAAGTCACCATGTGGAACTGGGGGGAGGGTCAAGAGGCCTCTTGGGGCTGCTCACAGCCTTATCCCTATTTCTCAGGGCAAACCCAAACCTCGAGCCACCTGGACACATAACAGCTGTGCCTTGGATGCCAGTCGTGTGAGTGTGCGGAATGGGGAGCAGGACTCCATCCTCTTCATCCGAGAAGCCCAACGTGCTGACTCAGGTCGCTACCAGCTCAGTGTGCAGCTGGGCGGGCTAGAGGCCACCGCCACCATTGACATCCTGGTGATCGGTACGGTGGGGAGAGCACGAGATGGGGTGGTCCTCCGGGGCTCCCTCTCCAGGCATCACAGAGAGCTGGGGAATCCAGGGTGGCTCCCACATGCTGAGTGTAGGACACAGAAGTGGATGGAGGGAGGAGTAGCTGAGCAGAGGAGAAGGGGCACTCCTGAAGCCATTTCCACGCACGTGAGTTGTACCCTGCCCTGTGCCATGCTTGGCCCTTTCAGAGAGGCCAGGCCCTCCGCAGAGTATCAAGTTGGTGGACGTTTGGGACTCCAACGCTACCCTGGAGTGGACACCTCCCCAAGACACAGGCAATGCGGCACTCCTGGGATACACGGTGCAGAAGGCTGACACAAAATCTGGGGTGAGGCCCAGCGGGGAGGGAGGGAGGGAAGGAGGCATAGCACTTTCTGGAATGGGGCTCTGATAGCTCCACATGGTGGGCTAAAGTGGACTGAGTTCACAAAACAGGTGTCTCATTCATGGCATCTTCTTGGGACCCCAAAGCTGTGGTTCACAGTGCTGGAGCGTTACCACCGCACCAGCTTCACAGTCTCCAACCTCATCATCGGCAATTCCTATGCATTTCGAGTCTTTGCTGAGAACCAGTGTGGGCTCAGTGAGACGGCCCCCATCACTGCCGACCTTGCCCACATCCAGAAAGCAGGTAAGGTGCGAGCTGGGAAGTGAAGGATAAAGACTTGAAGGAGGATGGAGATCGCAGGCACTACATCAGGGCCTTTCTTGGTCACCCCAGTTACTGTTTACAAGACTAAGGGGTTTGCCCAGCGAGATTTCTCTGAAGCTCCAAAGTTCACCCAGCCTCTGGTGAACTGCACTACAGTCACCGGCTACGACACCCACCTCTTCTGCTGCGTCCGTGCCTCTCCCAAGGTGAGTGGGGAGTTCTATGGGTGGCTGTGCCATGCTGCTTCCTGCGCCTGCTCTAACCTTAGCTATGTCGAAGAGCATGCCAACCAGAACGTTTGTTTCCATCGCCATAACAGGTCCTGTAGGAACAGTCAGGGCACTTGGACCCATCACCATCATCTGCCTCTTCCATAACAGGTCCTGTAGGAACAGTCAGGGCACTTGGAGTCCAAGACAGGCCAACGTGGAGAATATTCCCAGTATTCCTTTTTTTAAAAATTGTTTTATTGCTTAAAGTATTACAAAGAGTATTATATATGTCTCCCAGTATTCCTTTTAGTGTTTGTTCCTTATGTCTGAAGATGTCACTTTCTGACCGGCTGACAATTGGGAATGAGCTCCAAAGTTGTCTGTCTCTCTGGCAGGGGTGATGGAGTCCCGTTGGTTTCTCCTTACTCCCCCACTGCATTTCATCTGATCAGGGCCACGCACATGCGAGCTGCCTAAAATTGAGCCTTTGGCCACAACTCTGAGCATGGTTCCCTGTCTATTTGCAACCTACCCACTCCACACATGGCATAAAAACCTTTACCAAGTACCTTTTGTGTACTAGTCCTGGGCCAGACTATGTGGCCATAACATCTCAGAAAGAAAATACCAGTAAGTCCACTCTAGAAACTACTTTCTAACCAGAGGGACAGGAGTAACTCCCAAGCCAACAGTGGGAAAGAATATGAACGATTCAATAATGTATATACAAAAAAAGAGGCAAATCTGACGCCCAGTTCTTCTGATCCATAAAGGGGCTGTTTGAGCAGGATAGAACAGAAGTTATCACTTTTCCTTTAGTCAGGAATACTTGATGAACAAGGCAAGGTTTCAGGTGCTCTTTTCAACCAAGAGGAGGAGCGTGGAGGCTGTTGAGGATCCTGGAAGGGGAACCCCTTTCCAAATAGAAGGGATGGGGAGCTACCCAGAGGCCATTATCTCTTCTAGATCCCTGTACCATCTGTTCCTAAAGCACCCTACCGCTCCTGCTCCTCTGGCCGGTGTGTCCCCAAACCTTGTAGGCAAAGTGTCTCAGAGACTGAGCACAGAAAGAACAATTGGTTCTTACCACCCCTTGATGCCTCCTCATCCTTATCTTCTAGCCGAAGATTGTCTGGCTGAAGAACAACATGGATATCCAAGGCAACCCCAAGTACAGAGCCCTCACTCATTTGGGAATCTGCTCACTGGAAATCCGCAAGCCTGGTCCTTTCGATGGGGGCATCTACACCTGCAAGGCGGTTAACCCCCTGGGGGAGGCGTCCGTGGACTGTCGGGTGGATGTGACGAGTAAGGGCAGAACTCATGCCTTCAGGTGCAGTCATATCCTTTCTCCACAGGTGAAAAAGTTGGGGCAGAGACACAAGCCTAGATGGAAAAGGGCTTAATTTGCTTCCCCCTTCAGGCCCTTTCATCAAAGTCAACATCAGGATGTGTATAATTCTACAATATAGGAAGAGTTGCTATTTCAATTTCGCAAAAGAGAAACTTAACGTACAGGGAGGTGATTGATTACTCAAGATTTCCAATGTTGGTTAAATGAGGAGTTGGCACTATGGTGGAAAAAGCCCAAGTTTCCTGGTCCTCACCCAGATCACTTTAAACACACACATACTCATACACACACACACACACACACACACACACACACACGTACGCACACGCATGCAAAATACAATCTTCTGACTCAGTCCAAGAAAGCTGCAGCTGTTTATTGAGCTTTTAAACAAACCAGAGAACTTTTCCCGCTGGTTTGTTAAAAGAAAATATTGCACATCTCTCTACCTCTTTTAAAGTATTCATTCATTTACTGTCACCTTGTTCAGATCTCCATCATTGTATTTAGCACTTTCTTTTTATAATTATCAATTTACTGATCTGTTTCCCCATTAAACTATGAGCACTATGAGGGTATACAATTTTATCTGCCTTTGTCTCCCCCCCTCCACTCGCCCCAGCATTGAGCCCAGTTTCTGACACACAGCAGGCACTCTTTGTGTGTAGAATGAATTACATATCCTATTCTTCTCTATGCATAGACTACTCAATAGCACCATGGATTCTCCCAAAAAAAACCTGAGAAGCATACCCCTTCCTAGGACTCTGAAAGGTTTCCCAGAGATTTCTGAGATATTAACATTGGGAAATGTCTGAATTCTTGCAGCTCCTCTTTGAGGCTCCCGAAGAGGACATGGACAACCCTTGAGGAAGGTAAGGAGAGAGAAACAGGTGTCTGAACGTTCCATGTTTATGGCTAGTGTTGTTGAGACATGGGCAGATGTGAATTCCTGAGCCTTTCAATCCTATCATTCCCATGGAGGAAATTTATCATAGATGAAATCTACTTTTGCCACATGCTCTATCTATCTATACTACTCAAGTTCATGATAGGAATTTACGCTCCTCTGAAGAAGAGTGATAGCATCTGCCTAATTGTCAGGGGGATCTGTGGGAGGGAGGTGGGCTGATGCTGTAAGAAAAAATGTTAAAGGAATAACCAGTAGAGGATGGGCAAGGGTCACCACCACCACATGGTGGCAGCAAGGGAAAGGAGAAGGAAGCTGCTCTTGTCGATTGTTTCTACTTCAGTATCATAAGCATGGTGAAAAACAGATCCAGTGCCTGTTTTTTTACTTTGAAGTTTATGGATTCCTTCTCCTGCAAGAGGATAATTGAAAATGTGGGTATGTGGTTCCAAGCAGCACATTATAAGCAAATGGCAACTCAGATCATTGTTTAGAATTGGATAGCGCCTTCAGATTCTAAATCATTCACAGTAGAAATGTTGTGTACAAACTGATGAGTGAGATGAAAGAGAAGCTCATGAGAGAATTAAAGAGAATGGGTTCCCAATGTCTCCTCCTACTCGCAGCTCCTGGCTGATAAAAACTGAGAATGAATTCAATCCCAGGAGCTTATCATTGATAAATAGCAAATGAAAACCCTAAGGGAGGCATTAAAGTACAAACTTCTCAGAAGAACTCTCTGCCAGTTGGCTTGCAAAGACAGTTCTCTTGCCATCCCTCAGTTCCCTCTCTGCATCAGTATTGTGTTGGGTTAGTGTTAGTCTTCTTAGTGTTAGTTGTCCTTTTACCTCTCTCCCAGCCAGTGCCCAGCAATGAGGCAGGGTAAGTAGAGAATTCATACCACCCTGTATGTGCTCTGGCTGCTGGCTGTTATGGCCATAACAAACTCTCTCTTTTCTGTCCCTCCAGGAAGCCAGACTGTGCTGAGATTGTGTTCTTAAGGAGCTTCGGTACAGCATCTGGTTTGGACTGATCTAAATAAATGGGAGGCTCCTCAGTGCATAAGTGTCCATCTGTTTGTGCCTTTCCATGTGGGAAAACCATTTAGAAAGTTGGAATTCTTTAGCCAGACTATTTGCAATTTCAGAAAACCTCAGGCTCCTCTTTCTCTTCCGATATCCACTTACTCTTCCACAGAGGTTTCTAATACTGTCCTTGTCCCTAGACAGTGTATGACAGAACTGAGTTCAACTCTATACAGTACCAGGTGCTGAAAGAGATGCTGAAGATAACTTGCCTCTTCCTCTCTGGGCTTTCCAGTAAAAGTTGGATAACAGCAGGAGGCACATCCAGACAGCAGGACACATAAATACATACCTAGCTAATTAGAGACAGAACACTAAGACTTGAGGGCTTGGAGACACTGAAGAAATTGCAGCATATTCTTATTAAGCCCAGGGAAAGAATTAAGGTGAGGTGTTCTTGCTTACATTTGTTTTTATTCTTATAACAATTAACATATTAAAGGCATTCTGTGATGGAATCTGCAAAAGACAGCAACAATTCCTCCCATCCTAGGTTGGGCATGGTGATGTTCTCATCAAGCGTTAGCATTGCCCTGGTTGGGTAGCTCAGTTGGTTAGAGCATCATCCCAATGCCAAGGTTGTGGGTTCGATCCCCAGTCAAGATACATACAAGAATCAACCAATGAATGCATGAGTAAGTGGAACAGACTCCCCTTGCAACAACAAATCGATGTTTCTCTGTTTCTTTCTCTCTCTCTCCTCTCTCCAACCCCTTCACTCTCATCTGCCTATCTCCCTCCCTACTACCCTTCCTCTCTTTTTCTAAAATCATTTTTTTAAAAAAAGAGTTGGCATCTATTTCTCTTCCTCATGAATCCGGGCTGACTATGCAACCTGCTCTGACTAAAAGAATGCAGCGGAAATGATGCTGGAACAGTTCTAGACCTTAAGGAGTCTAGTAGTTTCTGTTTGTTTTTGCAAGTTGGCTCCCATGTAAAGAATTTCAGGATAGATTACTGAATTATTAGAGGCCACCACATACAGGACAACCAAACCCTAGCTGACAGACAGTACCAAGGCTCTAGACACCAAGACTCTTGGACCCTTCAGCTATAGTCAAGCCCAGTCTACTCCTTGTGGAGTAAGAGACTAGTTGTCCCTGCAGAGCCCTGCCCAAATTAAATCATGAGCAGATACATGGCTGCTTTTTTTCAAGCCACTGAATATTGGGGTGGTTTGTTACACACAGTAATAGGGTGGGGCAAAAGTAGCTTTATAGTTGTGAGTATGCAAAACAGTTTATTCTTGTATTGTTATTATTGTATTCTTTTCCATATGAACTGTAAATCTACGTTTGCCCCACTGTATATATAACGCAAATAGCCTTCTATGCAGCAGTCATGGAACTAAGAGCTTTGTCTCTTTAATATTCATTTAATAAATGAGTAAACTGAAGCTCATAAGTTGTTCCAAGTATGCAGGTGGTAGTAGCAGAGCTAGCATTTGAACCAGGTGTGTTTGAGCTGGAGCCTTCCTTATTTTCCTTCACCTCTTTCACTCAGTGATCCTCACTGTAGCAGGTATGAGCTTAAGAAAGAAAAGATTTCCAGGATCTAGTAAATATTAGGCAAAGTTTTGAGGAGGAAGGAGATGTATTGCTGAGTAGAGTGTGAAAGGCTTTTCTGTTCAGATCGAAGGTCTATTTTAAGTTGAGGCAAAGTATCTATTCCAGCCTCTCTCAACTGAAGTTCTATGGGAATTAAGTGCTAATGCCCCAAGGCATCCATGGTCTATTATAAATTAACTTCTTCCTATGTATCTAGAATATGACTGCTTATGTACCATCCTTGAGAAAACAGTCACAGAAATCATTTGTAGGATCTAATGGATGTAACCCCTACTGAGACTGTTGGGGGTGAGGGGCAGAGACCAGAGCCAACCAGTCATGTACACAATGGCCAAGAGGGAACTCCAACCAAGCAGGGCCTAGATCAGGAAGGAGTGAATGCCCAGCAATGATGCCCTCAGGATCAGCCAGACGTCTGGCCTTAGCCCACAGCCCTATGCCTCTGCTGTTTGTTAAAATGCTCAAAGGCCATCCCTTAAAGTTCATACATTCTTAACCTTCATGGTGAAGGAATAAAATCTGCACACTGAGTAAGACCCGCAGTCACAGTTACTCTTTCTGCATTCAATGAGAACTGCAATGGAATCCTTAATTTCTTCATTTATGCATTCAACGCTGTGGAGTACCTTCTGAATGAAGACCTACCATGTGCCTGGAAGGGGGTGTAATTTCTTCATTAATTCACTTATTTATTATTTATCCACCTGTTCATTTGGGGTTGAGTTGAGGGGGATCAATAGTTTCCAGATTAGTAGCTTTATGCCGAGTGAAGAATTATTGTACCTAAAATCTGTTTTTCTGACTTTGTTGTCATTTGAAAGAGAAAGTAGTTCCATTGTTTTTGTTTTGTTTTCAATAAGAGAACATTCATTTGTAAAATCACAGAGCTAGAAAAAGTAACTCCTAGAAGAAATGGGCTTAGGAAACAAGTTATAGAGATAAAGGAAGGGCTCTTGGAGCTTGGGAGTGAGGAAGGTAATGGTAACTAACGCATGGGCGGAGGGAAAAGCAGGCGCGCTCCAGGGAGAGCTTTCAAAATCATCATTCGGCGATAAAAAATGGAAGGTGAGTTTCCTTAGGAGACACTAACTTCCAATTTGCTAAAACTGCTTCCCCCGCTTACCTGAAGGTCGGTGAAGAAGTAAGTGCAGCGTTTCCCCACTCAGGCTGTTCCTAGGGGAAGAAAAAAGTACAGTTAATTAACAGCTTCTTTCCCCCAAATCTCCACTTTGCCACGGAGAGAAGGAGGCATCTGGTTCTGGCTTCCCCACCTCCATAGAACCTGAATCCTCCAAGCAACTAAAATTCCACATTCACCCACAAGCCTGGGGAGAAGAAGCCATCCTTCTCTCTCAGGTCTTCCTCACCTAAGCTTGCAGGTTCTGAGCCTCCCCACCCTTTCTCTGGTCACGCCATTAAATTCCAAGGCTCCTTTGCTCCCTGTGGCATTTTTTTTTTTCAGCAACATCTCATTCCTGCAAACCTCACCATCTCAACTGTAGCACTGAAAACCAGGAAGCAGACAAAAAAAATAGCCCACAAATGGCCCAGATGATGGTCACAAGTGCTGGAGACTCAAGTTCAGGCTCTTTGCAGGGGAGGGGGGGCAGGGAGGACGGCTGGCCCCCGGCCTGGCGTAAGGCCCCTGAAATCATTTGGTCTGGCCCTGCCAAGGCATTAAGGGCGAGTTAATTAAATGTTTGACCAAATACACCAGGCTAATTTTTAAGTGGATACTTTTGCATGGCCCAGGAATGATGTTATAAATATCAACTGGCCCTTGGTCGTAAAAAAGGTTCCCCACCCCTGGTTTACAGGAAAGCTCTTTGGCCACTTTTAGGACAAAAATCTTTAGAACATTTCTGAGAAGCTCTGTTAACTTGTGGCCCCATCTATTCCCAGGCAACATCTGGAAACAGAGAGACAACCCCTAATAAGGAGGCTTCAGGGGTTTATGAACACAGCTTTGAGTTTAGAGGGAGAAAGTTACAAACCCTCTCAAAAGCTCCTAGGCACACGGAGTAAAACCTGATATTCATAATTATGCTCTGAATCATATCACTGTCAGGATCTTCCCTTCACAGAAAACCCAGGGGCCAAATATAAAAATAGGCTCAAGCCTGCCTCCCATGTACACCCAGGAGTCAGCGCTGAATTTGAACCTAATTCTCCCTGTCGTTAAAGCACCCCCCCCTTTTTTTTCTTTTCCATCCCTTTTACTTTACTTTTTGAATTATTTTAGTTTTCAATTACAATGGACATTCAATATTATTAGTTTCAGGTGTATAGCATGGTGGTTAGATATTTATATAACTTCCTAGAGGCCCGGTGCACGGATTTGTGCAGGGTCCCTCAGCCTGGCCTGCATCCCCTCGCCATCTGGGGGGATGTCTGACTGCTGGTTTTCATATATATCCTATATAATAAAAAGGTAATACGCAAATTGACCCTAATGGCGGAACTATTGGTCACTATGACGTGCACTGACCACCAGGGGGCAGACGCTCAACGCAGGAGCTGCCCCCTGGTGGTCAGTGCACTCCCATAGTGGGAGCTCCGCTCAACCACAAGCCAGGCTGAAGGCTGCGAGTGCAGCGGTGGTGATGGGAGCAGGCCTAAGCCATCAATCGTACATCCCCCAAGGGCTCCCAAGCTGCCAGAGGGATGTCTGACTGCCAGCTTAGGCCCGATCCCCCGGGGAGCGGGCCTAAGCCAGCAGATTGTTTTTGTGATTAATCACTATGCTTTAATTATGTTCAATTTGTAACAATGAAAATACATCCTGCATATCAGATATTTACATTAGGATTCATAACAGTAGCAAAATTACAGTTATGAAGTAGCAACGAAAATAATTTTATGGTTGTGGGTCACCACAACATGAGGAACTGTATTAAAGGGTCGCGGCATTAGGAAGGTTGAGAACCACTGCACTAAGGGCTCCCAGGCTGCCAGAGGGCACAAGCTGGGCTGAGGAACCCCCTCCCCCCAAAGTGCACAAATTTTTGTGCACTGGCCTCTAGTAAGGCTGCCAGAAGGCACAAGCTGGGCTGAGGAACCCCCTCCCCCAAAAGTGCACAAATTTTTGAGCACTGGGCCTCTAATATATATATATCAGGCCTAAACCAGCAGCCGGACATCCCCTGAGGGATGTAGCAGTGCGCCAAGCAGCAGGCAGCCAGGGAGGAGCCTGAGCCGGTCGGGCCACTCAGGCTTATCCTGGCCAGCTGCTCGGTAGCTTGGGGCTCGGTACCGCTGCTGCGGAGTTGGGAGAGGCTCTGCCGCCTCAGCTGCATTCACCATTTGTGAGCCCAGCTTCTGGCTGAACGGCGCTCCCCCTGTGGGAGGACACTGACCACCAGGGGGCAGCTCCTGCAGTGAGCTTCTGCCCCCTGGTGGTCAGTGCGCGTCATAGCGACTGGTGGACAGGTCACTTAGGCTTTTAAGAGATGAGGTGAGCACGGGGTAAGTCTAGTCCCACCTGGCCCCTACATAGTTACACCATGGACCGCGTTCCCTGTGCTGTAGTTCACACGCCCTGACTGTTCTGTAACAGCCACCTGGCCGGTGCTGTCGTCACACCTTGGCTGCCTCAGGCTCTGTGAACGTTCCTGCTTTAAAAGCCATGGCAGCTGCCTGTCCTCCTCAGACAACCTCAACATACCTAAATTACGGGTGTTTAGGTGTTTCCGTAACCAGGAAAGGTCACCCCTGAGGAAATCTGGCAAAAGCGGCGCGGGCACGTGGCGGGAGCCCAAGGAAACGAATTTCCTCAGGCGGAGCGTTCGGCCCACAGCCGCGAGGGGCGTCAGGTGACCGCGCGGGTCCCGGGATCCGCAGCCCCCGCTCCACAAGCAAAACGAGGAGGAGGCGGAAAAGAAGGGGTGACGAGGGGCAAACCCCACACTCATGGTCGCGCGAAGACCTCCAGGCGTACGCGTGCGCGCTCCCGGCGTCCCCGCTGCAGACCCCCGGATGGAATCTTTCTGGGAACCGCTCTCCAGCCCGCCCCCAACTTGCAGACTTCCGGCCAGTTGCCCGCCGCCGCCCCGCCCCCCGAGGGCTGAGGACGCCGGGATCCGCCAATCACTGCACGCGTGTGGTCGGAGTGGGTGGGGCCTGAGAGATTCGAAAGGAGCCCCGCCCCCTCGGAGCTGATTCCCGGGACTAAGTGGTGGGAGGAAAGCTCTGTCCGCGGGAGATGCGGCGGGGCGGGAAGTGAGAACTCGCGGTAGGCTGCGGTGTGCTCCCGCGGGGCGTGGAAAGGTGGCTTGGGGAGAGGAAGAACCCGCAGGACTGTGGGTGGGAGGAATATGGGCGCGTAGAGCGCCCCCAACGCGGAGAGGCGGGCTCGCAGGGGGGCGGGAGGGCCATCTGCGGAGGGCGATAAGGGTGTAGGGGGAGCTCTCCGCACCGTCCCCGGAGGTAACGGCAGTGAACCGGAGCAGGTGCTCCTCCTGGGACGCTTGCTTGACTGCAGCGTGACCCCTGGCTGGCGCTCTGGGTCTAGCCGGGAGCCTTGGGCAGGATGGAGACCCGAGGAAAGGTATGCTTTGTCTCCACTTCAGGTCCAGGCTGAGTGCTGCTCCTGCGGGCTGGAACATGGGCGATTTGCAGGAAGGTAAGGAAATCCTGAAGGGAAGATTGAGACCCTGCAATTGGGAGCACCTTAGGGACCCACAACGGGCATTCATTCCTTCCTCCCCTACAGATGTAAAGTTTATAGTGGATGAGACCTTGGACTTCGGAGGGCTGTCACCATCGGACAGGTACCAGCCTCTTTCTTTATGCTGCTTACTTTCCTCCAACGATGCCTCTGTCTCTAACCACCCCCCACCACCCCTTACTGCTGAATTTTTGGCCTCTGGGGCCTGGGTTGGTAATTTACCAAGTTGGGATGCACTGGGGCGGCTGGTGGCTGGTTTGCTTGGGCCCCTAAGACACCATTACTGGGCAAGGGGAGAAGGGAGAAGCTGGAATGGGATTGCAGGGTGTTAAGAAGGGTAAGTGGATTCGCTGCATCTTCATCCCCGAGTGATCTCCAATGTCAGTAAATGCTAACGGCCTCTTAGGCTTCACGGAAGCAGGTGTCTCAGCACCCAGAGGCCAGCATGGGCATTGGGGTTTGGGGTTGTGTCCCTGGCTCTGCTGTGTCGCAGTCTCCTGCTCTCCTCAGTGTGGTCACTGGTTTGTTTTCTGTCTCAGTCGTGAGGAGGAAGACATACCAGTGTTGGCAACTCCAGAGAAACCCCTTCGGCGGGGCCTCTCCCACCGGGGCGACCTCAATGCAGTGGCCCCCACCCCCCAGGGCGTGAGGTTCAGCTTAGGCCGCCTCAGCCCAGCGAAGATGGAGGAGGTCCTCGATGAGGCCAACAGGCTGGCGGCGCAGCTGGAGCAGTGCGCCCTGCAGGAGCGCGAGAGGGCAGGCGAGAGCCCGGGGCCGCGCAGGGTGAAGCCCAGCCCTCGGAGGGAGACCTTTGTGCTGAAGGACAGTCCTGTCCGAGACCTGCTGCCCACTGTGAGCTCTTCCGCTCGGAGCACCCCCTCTCCAAGCAGCCTGACACCCCGACTCCGGGGCAGCGATAGGAAGGGGTCCGTCAGGGCTCTTCGGGCAGCATCTGGAAAGAAGCCCTCCAGCGTGAAGAGGGTGAGTGTAGCGACTCTGGGTTGGATGTGTGGCCCCAGACACAGTACAGGCATAGAGTGGCTCCTTGTTGGTAAAATGGGGATAGTGAAATTCTACCTCACAGAATTGTTGGAATTAACAGATACCGTAAGCCATGCACTTTCCACTATGTCTGTGCAGAGCTCTATAACGTCTATAATAAGCTCGCAATAAATGGTGGTGGTGGTGATCAAGTTAGCAGCTAGCTGCTGCCCTTCCTTACTGGGATCTAGGCAACTCTCCACCTCTATCCCTCAGCCAACAGAACAGATTCTTTTTCCATTTTAGCTTTTCTCTCTCTCTCTCTCTCTCTCTCTCTCTCTCTCTCTGTGTGTGTGTGTGTTTCAGGAGTCGCCCACTTGCAATCTGTTCCCCACATCCAAAAGCCCAGCATCTTCTCCTCTTGCCCGATCAACTCCTCCAACCCGATCAACTCCTCCAGCCCGATCAACTCCTCCAGCCCGATCAACTCCTCCAACCCGGGGGAAAGCTGGGCCCAGTGGGAGAGCAACAGCAAGTGAGAGGACCCAGGGAGCAAAGTTGGGGGTGAATGGGAATAGGGAGGATGTGGAGCTTACCCTAAATCCCTCTGCCCCAGGCCCGCCAGTCCCCGTCAGACCGGTCTTGGCCCCACAGCCTTCTACCAGCAACTGTCAGCGCCTGTCTCGGCCACAGGGAGCAGCTGCTAAACCTTCCAGTCGACTACCTGTCCCCTCAGCCATCCCCAAGCCTGTCAGCCGAGTGCCACTCAGCAGCCGGACTGTACCACCCAGCAGAGGTGCCCTAGCTTCAGATTCAGTGTCAACTCGGAAAGGACTTCCAAGACCAGGTGCTTCAGGGCACAGAGGTAAGGAGGAACGGACATCGGACAGGAAGTTAGGAGTAAGAATACCTACCCTCGCCCTGCTCTGCACTCTCCCAGAGCTAGCAACAGTGACCACTTTCTGCATCTTCGTTACAACTCTATTTGAAGATGGTGAGTTTGGAGAGAATGTGGGACTGGGCCAAGAGTTTGAGCCTTGGTTTTCAAATACCTTTGAAATGTTTTTACCTTGGGTGAGAGGGAAAGCACTAATCCAAAACTCACCCTGCCTTCATCCAGTGTTGATCTTTGTGAGACGGTCACTTGACCTTTCTGATAACCCATTTCTTTTGTGGGCCCCCATCAAGTTCCTGTTTCCCAGCGACCAAATCTTCCTGGTGCCACTCGCAGCCATCTGCAGCCCCCCCGGAAAGCTGCAGCCCCAGGACCTACCAGGTAAGGCTGGTTAGGTTGCTCTCTCTCTCCCCTGTCCTCTGGGCTTCTGAGCTGTTGGGTGCATCAGCCCTGAATCCTGTGTGGCAAGATGGCGGAGAGGAGGGGAGCCTGGAAGGTGGGGTGTCCCGTTTCTTCCTGAGAAACTTGAGCTCAGCTGGGTGACTTGGGCTCGAGGAAGAAGGGCAATCCATCACTTCCTCCTTCTGTCTCTTTAGGTAAAGAGATCAAGACAGCAAGCAAGAATTCAGTAACCAACCACGACAGTCCCTGCCTGGACTCGCCTCCTCTCCGGCCTCCCAAGCCCTCGAATTGGAGGCAGTTCCGGATTCCTGCAGATTCTGGCTCAGGGGCAAGAGGAAGAGATGCCACCACGGCTGGTGCCCCAGGGAGATGGGGTGGATTAGGGTGGAGCTGGAGGGGATTCAGACTCTCCAGATTGGAATATTAGGGAAATGAAGTCACCTCCCGGCAGTGAAATGAACATACAGATGGGAAGTGCAGGAGAGTGGGTTGTCCTCATCCACCCCCAGTCTGTGTTCATCCCCAGGCCGAGGGTCACTGGGCATGAACATGGGAATGGCCTCTGTCGCTGACCTCCCTGCTCTCCCAGGAGCAGTCCCCCTGAATCACATCCCCTACTGGACTTCGGCCTGTTTGGCGAAGCAGAGACAGGCACCTGGCCTCCGGAACTTGCTTCCTGTGAATTCTGTGAATCGTAACAGGCCAGTTTATGATAAACTGACTCCTTTGGTCTATACTTTTCTAAAATAAAGTGAGCGTATTTTTATATTCTCTGCATATGTGAAAGCAAATCCTGCTCCAGTTTCTAACACATTTAGAGTGAACGCCTGTGTAATTCCAAAGAGGGAGCCAGGATGGGCTTCCCAGGCGGAGGAGCCTGAATAGGCCCCAGGGCCTCGAGATTCCAGCGAATCAGGCTGTAACTACCCCCTTGTTGTTATTAGCTGGAAGCAGGCTGCCTTTTCCCAGGGTTTGAATGTCATTAAAAGGTCCAGGTCAAGTTAAGTAGAGCTTAATTCACAGTGTGTGAGGCTGTCAAGTCAAGGTCTCGGTAAAGTATTTATATTTTAAATATAGTTTTATTGATTTCAGAGAAGAAGGAAGAGAGAGAGAAACATCAGTATGAGAGAGAATCATTGATTGGCTGCCTCCTGCACACTTCCCACTGGGGATTGAGCCCACAACCTGGGCATGTGCCCTTGACCGGAATCGAACCAGGGACCCTTCAGTCCACAGGCTGCCACTCTATCCACTGAGCCAAACAAGCTAGGGCCAGAGTATTTATATGTTAAACTTGGGTGTCCCTTCAGGGCAGGAGAATGGAGCAGAATCTTGTCTGCTGTACTTACCGGCTGAGGGGCACTTACGAGTCTTCAGCCTCCCTGACTGCCTCGGGCAGAAGATGCCAGGAGGCTTCACATTCCCCTTCACTTCATTAGGGTTGTTGGTCTCCTCTTATCTCTACTGGGCTCCAGGGCTGGCACCAGGATGGATAAGCCCCTGCAGCGTCCAGTGTTGTGATTTGTATGTGGCGGAGAATTTCATTCCTTTACTGAAAAGATATCTGAGAGCAAGGGGGGCAGTAGTTCAATGAATGACAAAGACTCATTTAGAGCAGATTTAATAGTCTCCCTCTTCTCACAGCCTTTGATTTTGCAACCAGAAGCAACTCAATTCCTTGTGAGTTTTAAGAGAATGCCCCCTTTTTTTAATTTAATATATTTTATTGATTTTTTTAGAGAGGAAGGGAGAGGGATAGAGAGTTAGAAACATCGATAGGAGAGAAACATCGATCAGCTGCCTCCTGCACACCCTCTACTGGGGATGTGCCCGCAACCAAGGTACATGCCCTTGACCGGAATCGAACCTGGGACCTTTCAGTCCGCAGGTCGACGCTCTATCCACTGAGCCAAACCAGTTAGAGCAAGAATGCCCCTTCTTGAAGGCCAGGCCATGACTTGAAGCAACAGGCAACTGGGTGCAGGAAGTGGATGCCAGCTGGTGCCCACCCTGCCCAGGCTTATATGCACATAAGTGCCCAACTGAGGTATTGCAATGCCCTTTCTCTGTTCCCAGGCCAGGGGCCCTCCGCTGCTTTCTTCTCCTTGTTTATGGCTGATCGCCAGGCTCTTTTCACACATTCACCTCTATCACAGTGACGGCTGTCTAGACCTTCACCTTTCCCTCAGCCTCTTGCAACAACTCTTGCAACAACTCTAGGGTTCCCAGAATGGAGCTGGGGGAGGCGGTGTGGAGACACACTGAGCCTTTGACTGCGGAGAAATTTGGTGGAGGCCGGAACATCTCACGTGTGCTTCCCAGCTGGGCCCCGCACTGGGGTCTAGTGAGCAGGGTCTGGTCCTCACTGCCCGCTCTGACAGAAGCACTGGAGGAGTGCAAGACTAGGCAGGCACATAGGTGAGGGTGTGGCCAGCAAATGGCAGGTGTGACCTGGGCATGGGCCACGCCATGCTGGGTTCTTAGAAGCAAAAGCGGCAGCAAACCCATGTGCTGTTGCCACCTGGTGGCCAGAGAGGACACGGCATGTTCCTCTGGCCCTCTTGATCAGTCCTGAGTTTTATCCCCACCCCCACCCCACCCCCTCCAAACCTGCTTGAACCTAGTAGGCAGTGCCAACTAGGGAGGAGGCCTGCCTGCCACAGCAGTCCTTGGTCAGCTACCTGCTTCCTTCCTTCCCTTTGGTCTGGCTTTCTATTTTTCTCTATGCATCCACCCCTGCCCCCACCCAGTAGTAACAAGGGAAACCAATGTTTATGGACCTCTTGCTATGCACTGTGAACGGTTCTAAGCACTTTGTGTGTGTTAACTCATTTGATTCTCATAAAAGCTCAATTAGGCAGATGTTAGTATCATCCTCATTTTGCAGGCAGAGAAACTAAGGCTGAGAGATGAAGTCACTCAATCCAGTTCTTGGGTTTGTGTTCCTTTTAAAAAAATGTTTTATTTATTGACTTGAGAGAGAAAGAAGGAGAGAAACACTGATCTGTTGCATCCATGCATTCATTAGTTGCTTCTTGTATGTACCCTGACCAGGGATCGAACCTACAACCTTGGCATATCAAGACCCAAGGGAGCTACCCCGCCAGGGCCTGGGATTGTGTTCTTAATCCCCACCCTTAACTGCCCCCCACCTCGTTTGTTAAACAGACCTTTGAAAAACACAAAACTTGGGGACAGAAGAAATGTGGAGGACACAGTTGTCTTGCAGTATGAGCAGCTGCTTCATTTCCATTGGGAAATAAACACCCAACATGGCCCAGAGAAGTAGCGTTAGGAGGTGCCCCGTCACTAAGCGCCTTGAAATTCCCACCAGCCTCTCAACTCCGCCCTCCCTGTCTCCTGAATTCTGCCCACAGGGTGCAAGCCCTGGGGGTTTGGGCTAGAAACCTGCCTGCTCTGCCAGCCTCTCCTCTCCAGCTACACAAGTCCCTTCTCCAGCCTCCTCTCCAGCTACACAAGTCCCTTCTCGTGAAAATGATACTTTCCCACCACATCTTCCTTGGAAATGCCGGGACACGGGCTCTGTGTTGATGAGGCTATTTGGGGAGCATGCTGGGATGTTGGTATCGAGTCTAGCTCACACCAGCCACTTGTTGTCTGATTCCCTGACCTCCTGGTCCTGCCTGCTCTTATTTTTAAAGGCCAGAAAGATGAGCACCGCACCGAAGCAATAATGACAGTGCTCAACCCGCACAGAACTAGTTTATTCAGTAGTATGGGAAAATGGAAAAAATAAAACAACAAAAACAAGCACAAAACCCTACGATATTTACAGTAACAAACTGTACAATCTGATGGTTAATGTCAAGTTAGCATCCAGCATCTTTGTATTTTTTTTAAGTCAAGTCATCAGTAGTGAAAACCAGTGACGTGTTTAACCCTTTGCAGGAATTACAGAGGGGAGAGGGGAGAAGCCGGGGCAGGAAAGCCAGAGACCAGCCTTACACATGAGAAACGGGAGCTTTTTCACCTGCTCCAGAGGCAAGTCCATGACAAGTCTGGATTACATGCTTAGCAGAAACGGTGACTCACATGAGTAGCAGTTGGCAAAACTGAGGAGGGGGAGGAGGGGCAGGGAGATGACAGCCTGGAGCAAGGGGAAGGGCCTCGGGCCCCATGCCAGGACTGCGGGGCACACACCCAACCTGTAACAGCCACATCAGACCCCCTGGGACCGGATACCAACCCATCCCCCCACACACACAAAAAAAGCAAATAAATAAAAAATATATATTAACTCTCTCTTCGCAAGGAGCTGGGGCGGGGGGAGAAGGAGAAAGAGGAACAGGACCTGGTCCTTTGAAGAAGAGAGCCAATTCCCAGAAGGGGTTAAAACCAGAACATGTCGCAGAGGCCACAGCAGCTGAGTGGGGTCGTCGGCCTGATCTTGGGAGGACCCCAGAACCCAGACTTGAGGCCGATGCCGGGAGCGACTGAGCCAGCACTGTGTTCACTCTTCTCCCTGTCCCACCCACACAACAGCAAAGAAGCGCAACTGAACGTGACTGGCCTTCCCCGCGCGCGGCGTGCGGGTCTGGCAGGGAAATGAAGCACTTTTGGGTCAGCGAACTGAGCAAACGCCTGGGCTGCAGCGCGTGGCCGAGTCCAGGAAAAGGAGAGGAGCAGGGGTGGCCCGGCCGCCGCCCGGGGCACGGGTTCCCCTCAAAATGTGTTCATGCAGCATTTGGGGGTCCGGGGGCGCCGAGTCCTTCGGCTCCCTCTCCAGACGGGCTTCTTCAGTTCCTGGGAGGGGCGGCCCAGGCGGGGCCCGGGGCAGCCTGCGGGGCTCGGCGCCCTGGGTGCGTGTGGCTTCGTCCTTTCCTTTTGGTGATGGCAAATGAGGGGCAGGCCCCCCCAAGAGTCCCTCTCCTCCCAGAGGCACAGCAGATGGGAAACCGAGGAGAGGCTGGGAGCCTCCTGGAGGTCCTATCCTCTTTGGGAAGGGAACGGGGAGTCAGTTTCCAGCGTATAAAAAAAATTAATCCCTGAAGTCATGAGAGTGGAGATCCTTTTTTAAATTTTTTTTTTCCTCTTTTCTGAAAAACTTTGTCTTGGAGATGTTGGCCCCAGGGGTCCAAAGTGCAGTGAGGGGCTGGTGGGGGAGGGAGTTGGCACTAGATGGCCTTGGGGGGGGTCCCCCTCCCGGCAAGGCCCAGGCTCCTCAGATGGACGTTTCATCGCTGCTGCGGGCAGGCGGCGGGCGGCGGGGAGCGGGGGCAGGATAAAGCACAAGACAGGAGTGGGCATGAGTGCCGCTGGGGAAGGCAAGGGAGACTGGGGTGTAGGAACCACCGGCCCAGGGTTAATGCAGGAAGTTAAAGAAGAGGAATCTGGAGAGGCAGGAAAGGAAGCGACAGAAAAGGCAGACGGAGGGTTAGTCGGAGCAGAGCAGACAGCGAGAAGCTTCCACCAGAAGAAGGAAACAGAAAAGCAGCCCAGCTCCCCACCCTCCCGCTCTGCCCGATGCCCACAGGGCACTGTTGTTTGTGGGCACGTCACCGTGAGGGAGCTGGGCCACACTCCGCCCGTTCGTCCTCTGACTGCCAACCAGAGCCGGCTGGGGAGCTCTGAGCCCAGCCGGGGCCTCTGTATCCCATCCCGCTCCCCAGGCCACACTCACTCGGAGCCTGACGAGTCCTCGTCCACCGTGCCCGCCTTGATGCTCATGGCGATGGGCATGACCCCGTTCAGCTGCTCCTGGAGACTCTGTCGGGGTGGTGGGCGGGGAGGGGGCCCGCTCCGGCT